AAATTTTTAGTCATTTCTATACTTTTCAAATTTATTCATGCTTACTGAATATCAAAGATTACAGCATATTTGCATATATAATGATTGTTTGGTAAGTAGGTCTTGTGTGTAGTAAAAAAGAGTTAACATTTTTAGATTATATGCAATATGCAAATTGAGCAAATCCTTTTAACACATCAAAGATCAAGTGCATGTAAGTTTAATTAACTTTTTTCATACATGAAATGCAAAGCTATATATATACTTAAAAATTAAGCAAGTTCTCCAAGAAATATCTATGAAAAATTTTATCTGCAAGAAAATTTACTCGTGATTGATAACGTGGTTATTTATTATTTTCATAAGTTTTGTTAAGTTTTTTCAGCTATAATATAATATTGAAAGTGAATAAATAAGTTGCGAGCTATTTCGCTTATCTGGCTTCGGATGAAACTTGTCGAAGGATTACAATAGGTAAAATCAGTAGACATCCACCAATCGAGTAACATACAGTTGGACCATGAAGCCAGAAAACTAGAAATCATGAATACTATTTAAATACTTTAATATGAAACTGAAATGCACAACATTTTGCTTTTTTTATATAATTTATGTAAAAACCTGTAGATGCAAACAATGGTGCAAGAGCTCGCGCTAAAGCTCCGAGACTTCGGAATACACCAATTGTAGCACCTTTTACATCAGATGGTGCAAGGTTGGATGTGCAAGTCGTCATGCAAGGAACTACCAAACTTGATGCTGAAATGAATTTTGTGCTTGATTAATCCGTTCTTGAGCGAATTTCTAAAATGCTGAATTCGTAGTTTTTATCACATAACTCTGCAAAGACATTATATCACATCACTTCAATTAATCTCTAAATGTTATTATTATTAATTATTAATATTTATTTATTGATCACGTTGTTAATACTGTTATTTGGACTATTAATGTTTCCCTAATAGATTAATAATAATTAATTATATTTTTAATTAAACTGCGTTAGTTATTTTGGACCGACACTTAATAGTAATATCCTAATATATACTGAAGAAAAATAAGAATCTACCGATCGCGTAAAGCGCTAAACCAAAATAAAATACTTCAATACGAGTACTATATCCAATGATGATATAAGCACAAACAGTAAATAAAACGCCATAGATAATTGCTGTGTGTTGCTTATGAACGGGAATTCGACGGACTATTCCTCCTTAAGTAATTTAATATTTAAAAATTAAAATTATTTTATACCCGAATTTGAGATGTGTATTTTTTTTTGTAGCCATTACAATTAATTAAATAAAAGTAGAGAACATTTAAGGATTAAAAACAAAAGAGTTAAAATGTGCTAGCAATTTTAGTAATTACACTTTTGACAGCATTACTTTTCACTATTTTTTTTTCTGATACAAAAATTTTAAATACTGTAATGCCAATTTAATTCGTAATACCTTGCGTGATTATCATTAAAGCACCAATGAAAAAATACATTCTGCCTTGTTGCATACTGAAAAACTAATAAGTTATTAGTCAAAGAGGTCAAAAATTTACTAATCTAACTAATACTTTTAAGCAAAATTAGTAAAGTCAAACTTTCAAACAGAAAATTGCTATTTTATGCGAAAGGAAGTAATTACTTCTTTACCGAACAAACAGTACATATTGGTTACTGTCGCTGACAACAACATAAAATCTTTTGATGTGCAATTCAGATGTTTTCTAATTTGTTTTAAGAGAAGTACAAATAGCTAATATTCATTACATTTCAGATACAATACAACAGAATTAAAGAATAAATAAAGCAACGAATTTTAATATTTTTGGATTTTTTAGAAAATTTTTTAAAAATTTCAAAAAAATGCATTAAGCTCAAAAATGATCAATTAGAAAGTATGTAAAGTAGAATATATTTTGAATAATTGCTCAAACCTGTCATAACTGTAACGAGTGTGAGTCAAGAATGACAAGGTGAACTCTAGACCAGAATACAAAAATATGTAAAGAAAATAAGCTCGTCCATATAATTGCATTTTTTTAATCCCTAAAATTAATACTAAGTTATCAGTTAAAATTTTGAAGTGAAAAGTTGTTTTTTACTTTTTTTTAATACAGTAAATTTTTTTTAGTACTGCACTCTTTTTTTAGTACTGTAGTTTTTGAATGAATAATTTTACAAAGTTATTATCAACGAATGCTAAAAGCATTAAATTTTTATTGAATTACACTTTCTGTTGTAAAAAATTGAGAAAAAAGTTGCTTTTTTAAATTTAAAATAATTAAACTTGAAATAAGTTTGAACCTGTTTTGTTTAAGCGATTTTTTACTACTGAAAATTGAAATAAAGCCTTTGGTTTAATGTATGACATGCAATTATTCCATACATGACGAGCCAATGTTTTCTGCCAACAAAAATCATAAAATTTTAAATTTGTCTTGAAAATTTTTTAAATTTTAATTTTTTTCAATAAAAACTTAACATTCAAATTTTTAAAAGCACTTTGATATTTATTAATTTTGTAATTTTTTTCACAGTTTTCAATCGAATTTTAGTAATCAGACAGATTTAGAATTCTTCTATATGCAATTAATTAATTTCATATTTAATGAATTCAGATATGAAAATAACAAACTCTTTTAGATATTTCAAGAGTTTCTGGTAAAATTAAAGCAACAAAAGCAAATTCCATAATTGTCAATATGATATCAAATTTAGCGACTGCACTGATAATGAGTTCTGAACCTCTATTTGTACTTCGAGAAAAATATACACCAAAAATTGGCCCTATTAAAAAACCAATCGAAAATGAGCCTCCAATAACGGCCTATAATTATTTGATTATACTAATTTAATAGCTACGGAAATTAAATATAAGCAATCAATTTCACACCAGATATAGCAATAATTATTAGTGGTACTTTCCAAATATTCCTCAAAACTTTTTTACACAATCTAATTTTCATAATTTTTAATTTTGTGCTTCTTGCATAAAAATAAGCTCATTTTCCAAATTCGCAGCTTTCGCGCTTTTTATCACTTTTCAGGCTACTTCGTATTAACACTGCTTAATTTTGACATAATTGACTTTGATGCTTAAGCTGAAAATTCGAATTATTGTGCGTAATTAATAACAAAACACAGTTTCCGACCATGCCTTGACCAACGTTATTCTGCGAATAAACATCAGCCATAGCAGCAATGCATATTGACACGCTGGCTTTGCTGAAGCCACCAATAATTCGAGATAGCACAAATAAAGTAAAAGTATTGGCATTTGCCCAAATCTGCAAATAAATCCTTGAAAAATTAGATCTCAGTATTTAACAAATTCAACATATTAATTCTGAAATAATCACTAAAATTTGCATCTATAAATTACTAAACGTTTAATATTTTAGATTTGTACAGTATTTAAAAAACCGAAAAACAGTACTACAATGATTAAAAATTTTGTAGCCTACTATATAAGATAGTAATGTTCCAGAAATAGAAATGAGCAAAATGTATTTCCGTCCAAAGACGTCAGAAAGTGCGCCAAATAAAGGTGAAGACAAAAACTGAAGTAAACAGTAGAGAGACGCCAATACGCCTAAAAATTACTCACGCATTTTTAAAACTTGTCAACTCTTGACAAGTTTTAGTTGTTTTTTTCAATAAAATATGTTGGAATTTCATGTAAAAGTATAATTATAGAAAAATTTCGCACTTAAATATGTTGAAAAACTTTTTAAACAGGCTTTTCAAATTATAGTTACAAATCTTTTTAATTTGATATTTACTGAAATATTTAAAATTTGTATAAATAATTGTTACCGCCGAAAAATACCGAATGTAATCGTTTCGAACTTGGCGTGCCAATAGTAGTCTGAAAGAATCGACAAAACTTTTCGATATTATTGTATAGCCAATCCTGAAGCATACAGGAAAAAATTAGCTTCAAAAAATTAACAAAACTTTGAATCAACGAAAAATTTTATGAATAATCGCTAAATTATGATAAAATATTACATTTGCTTGATTGCAAAAATGCGCGAAAACAATCATAAAACAAATAAAGTTGTCAACTTGGCGAATATTTCTAGCAAATTTTTTTCGCGCCATTTTTTACCTCTCTAGATATCTTAAAGATAATTAATTTCTTGTAAATACAGAACGTGACTTCAGAATCCAAATTTGACGGTGATTCTTTGTAATATTATGATTCAAAGTTAATTTTTGACATTAGAGTTTTTTACGTCACAACTAGTTTTGAATCATTGAACTTTTTTATTGACTGCCCATTGTTTTAAAAGAACTTATTAACTGAAATGAAAGTTTACAATTTGTGACGTTGATTTGACGTATTAATTACTTATTGTCACAAAAATGCTATTTATTATTGTTATTGCTATTATTATTATTACTGTTTTTATTATTGTTACTTCTTGCCGCCAATAATTTTTAGAGTCATTTCTATTGCAATGCATTTTATTAATTATTAATAATTTATACAATTTTAAATAATTAAACTTACTTGTCTATCACCATAGTAGTCAATTATTGTTGGAAATATAGGTAGAATAGAAGTAAATGCGAGTAAATCGAGCACGAGAGTGATGAATATCAACAGTGGCACTGAACTTTTACTCAACTGCATATTCTAAATTACTGTAAATAATTATTAATCGAATAATTTGCATAAATTTGAAGAAAAACCGTTATTAGTACTGAGCAATCATTCATTTTGAAAGTAAAAAAAAACAATTTCGACTAATAATACAAAAATGTTATGACTTCTCTAATAAAGGACTTTTGAAAATTAATCATACATCTAATTAAATGAAAAAAGCATATCGATTGCAAATTTTTTTTAAATCACAAAAAGTAATCAATTTCAAAACTGTAATGTTTAACAATGAAGGTGAAACAATTTGTACAATTGCAAGCCTAAAAAATTGAATAATTATTTAAATAAAAGTAAATATTAATATACAAGTAATTATTACAAGTAATTATTTAAAAGTAAATAATAGCTTATTAATGTTTACTCGGATCAATGTAGTATCTGAATGCATTTTATTTGTGGATTGTTAGAAAGCCATTAAAAGTGACTGAGATTTAAATTCAGAACCATAAGTAAATGATACAGTATGATAATTAGATAATTAGTGGATTAACACAAATTGAAAGAACTTTTTAGAAGCGAAAAATTTTAAATAATTAATCTGAAGTAAACTGAATTTTTTTATAATCGAACTAACAAATTATGCGAATAGCAAATGACTTCTGAGAATGATAAATGCTGAAATGAAGTTGAGATCTACTCAAAAATTGATAATTTTGAATTAAATTGCAATAATTATTAAAGCAATGCCTAACAATAAGTAAAATAGTTGTATAAAGTAGAATATTCTCAGAAGAAGAGACAATTTTTGATACAGTTCAAGGACAAACTGTATTTCTTTCTTTACAACAAATTAAATACTCAAATAAATAGAGAAATCGACTACTCAGATCATTGATCTATCAATAATTGATTGATCAGTTTTTAATAATTATAAGTATTTATTAAAGCAAATAAATGAAAATAATAAATCATGCTCTTTGATTCATTCATTAAAATATGAAAAAACTTTCAATTACATTTAGAATAAATACCGAATTTGAAAGAAGTAAGTTTTTTGACGCATTGTTTCATTATTAGAATACTTACTCAAAGTTATTGATTAACTGATTTATTAGTTTAATATAATTAATACAAAAGTAAAACAAGAATAATTGAAGTACTATGATCGTATTTTATTGCGCTGAATGGAATTTAGTATTCAAATATTTTGATCACTTTGAAAGTTTATATGCAATAATTGCAGCTGAGAGAAATTACAAGTATTATTAATAATTTTTCATACCTTTTCCTAGTTTTACTGTTGTGCAATGAAGAGAGTGAAAAAAGGTCAATTTGATTACATTCAAAATGAATAAAACTTTTAGTAAAAATATTTATTTAATTTTTTTGTGATTAAAATATATTCTCTAATTTTTGCAAATTGACAAATGTCTAAATAATCAAAACTGAAAAGCTCATATAATTATAATTTAACTTTTCAACAATTAAAATTAGTCATTAATAAAGCATTAAAATATTAGATGCTTATTAATAAATTTTATTAATGTTGCATTACTGATTGCAAGGATTTCTTAATTAATGTAACTATGAGCACAATATCATTATGCAAATTTTCATCAAACAATTAATGATGAATACATAAGTATCATTCGGATATTTATGTTATCAAAAAAAATTACAACAAATAATAGAAATAGTTCAGTAAATATCGTGAATTTTATTGTTAAAAAAAATTATTATCGCTAAGAGCAAAAATAGTGATAGTATAAGAGTGAAATCGTGCCTAATTTAGGTGAAGTAAACTTTATGCATGTTCAATTAGGTCAACAACTTCATGCCAGCAATTCAAATTACTACAAGTATATAAATAAACTAGAATTTTGTAAGACTGATTGAAATGGCTGATTTATTTCACATATTCAAAGCCTTTTTATGATAACTGTAATAACAGTCATCAGTGTAATCAAATGTTGCTCCATGCTTTAAATATTCGATATAAAAAGTAGATTTTTACTCATATTTTATAAGTATTCCTAGTATTCAGGTACTTTTTTTCCTTCTTCACCTTTGAACTTTTGAAATCTTCATTCTTTATTATTCACTGATGTGTAAAGTTCTTGAAATTACAAATTAATTACATTTCGCAAGCCGTTTTAAATTTCAGAATGTGTCAGAGTTGACTTGTTAAAATTAGATGAATTCAAAATATTTGCATAATTCATCATGCTATCATCTTTTTTGCCAAATCAACTGTATATGTAAATCACTAAAACTTTCTGAATGATAAATAAAGGATTCTTTTTCTCACAGAAATGAACTTTTCTTTAATTTAATTACTATTTTAAAATTGAGTTTCTCATTTATTTGAGTATTTGCTGATTTCTTTTTTAAATTAAATTAAATTAAAGCCTTTCGGTTTTTTCATAAGTAAAAGCCAAGGCTCAAAGAAATATCCTTTTTATAAATAAAGCATAATTAGTTTTGTTTATAACCCGTTTGAACTACTGAAATATGCTCTTCTTAGTGATTATTTGATTAATAATATAACGACTACTTTAACTAATAATTTTTGGATATAATTAATTCTTATAATTTAAAATGCACTGCTCGGAGGACTCTTTCCTTATCAAATTCATTTTGGACTCTTTTCAAAATAGTACAGCTAAATACTTACAAGTAGTTATACAAAACCTCAATATACGAAGATTTTAATATTTAACTTTAGCCCAAAATTATCATATTTCAGATACGCATGTCTTACTTATACTTTTTGACTCATTACTACTCGATTACTAATGTAACGGCTATTTTTCAAGTATGCTTTCACTAATAAATGCCGATATTTAATGTATTTCAGTACAGTCACTAATGGCAGTAGTAAGAATATTCATAATTCTACACAGTTTTTTTAATTACTCATATCAGTTATTCATTTTACCGTCAACATCACCTAATCTAACTTCGGTAACTAGTAAATATGCAGTAAAACTCGATGTCAAACAATCACTACTCAAGAACCTGAACTCATTTTCGAATGGAAATGTGCAAAAATTGGTAACACTAAGGGGAAATGATGGACAGCACCAATATTTATCCAACAATACTATCATAATTCAGCAAAGAAAAGAAAACATCCCAGAGGACCAGCAAAATACATCGATGGTACAGTTTAATAGTTTAAGAGAATCAATCAGTTCTGAAAACAATAATAATTTCGATTTGAATCCGCCAAAATCACAAAAAACTGGACAGAATTCAAACAACTGGCAGAAATTACGTGAAAGACGTCTGCGTTTTTATAAGGTAAGCAAGTAGTTTATGCAAGCATTAATTATACAAGATTTCCTCATAAAACTAACTTATCCTCAAAAGCCTCTTACTTACTGCATAAGAGATTAGTTCCTAAACCAATTTATACTTGTGATATTTTGCTATAATAGATTTTCCAAAGGATTAATCAGAAAACTTTGAAATCTTTAAAATAAAAATTACAAATATATTGATGCCACCACGCATAGTGATAACAATAACCAAAACTTCTGTAAATGGCATATCATAAGAAATGATAATAAAAATACTGATTATATTTTATATGGAAAAAACAAGATGTAAATTATATGCATTAATGTACAAAACCATCAGGCATATCGGAAAATGCAGAACATGTATGAAAATGGAAGAACTGTTAACAGTACTAAAAACAGTGCTACTGCTAGCGACAGTATAAGCATCCCGGTCAGAGGTCATCGTAGCAAGAAAAATGAAGAAAGTTTTCTAGATCCGGTTTGCTTTGGTTGCACAATATTAAAACTAATAAAGTAAAGACAGCAGTTAAGGTTCATTACTATATTTCGAAGAACCTTCCTTTTGTAAAATGAATAAGTTTTGTAAACTGCAAAATCTTTAATTACAAGCTATCCATCGACTGCGGATTTTATGATTAGCTGCAATACTAAACTCAATATTAGTAATCTTAAGATTAATTCTTAATGCACAAATACATTTTATTTACTTTTACATACATTTAACAATGTTCATTTTTTCTTTTGGTAAAATAAAGCAGTAATATCCAACGTAGCTAAATTCTTGATCAAATAATTAACACCTTAAAATCAGCAATAATATAATTTCAGACAAATATAACATTCAATGACTGGGAAACATTTATCACCGATTATTCTAAAGTACTACCACAATTAGTAAGTTCTGTCGCTAATTAAAGAATACAATAATGGTATCAATATTTTGAAAACCTACTCGCTAATTAAAGAGTACAATAATGGTATCAATATTTTGAAAACCTATAACTAACGAAGATTTTGGGGAAAATATGTCCACATTTCAGTCATTTATACGATTCTGCTACTATCTAATTCTTACTTTTACTGCTATAACTATAGATAACCTAGTAATCATTTAGAATCGACGCAAAGCCTCATTCAACGAGCATGACATATCTGGAATAACTGACGACTTTCACAAAGATTTATCTAGGGGGAGATACTGGCCGCCTATTAGGTATTTTCTGATTTTTTATCACAAATTCAACCTCTATTCATAACAAAAATTAAAGTCTCAGAGACTTCATCTTATAATGCTAATCTTTACTATATCAAATCTATCAATTTCAGCATGCAATCCTCTCCAGCTGTACGATTTTCAGTTGATTCGCGCCAACTTCTGTCCAATCTTCCACCTGAAAGCAATGATCATTTACCTCTACCTCCAAACCCACGCAGTACAGAAGCATCAGTACATACTGTAGAAGCATATGCGCCAATAATGCAGTACCACGAGAGGAAAAGTAATCAGAATAATTTTTTGCCTCATGTTAATTATAATCACAAATATGCTAATGAATATGGAAGAACAGATGCTGCAGAACTAGTACCACAGCCAAGCTTAAATAGTTACAGCGGAGATGTAACATATATGACCGATACCGATGTGAGTCTTTCATATCTGCTTTCTTTTTTCCATCACTTTTCCACTTTCTATTAGCTTCTATGAAACCGATACATAATTGCAATACTTTAATCAACAGAATTCTTTACATTACTGAATCCAAATATTCTAGAATGACTGTATTGATTCTCTCTGCGACATCAGTCAAACAAATCCATTTAGTTCTAGTGAAGATGAACGATGCAACAGTCTGCATCTGAAACAAATTATTTCACAGGTAACTAAATCTATCTTTTACTTCCAATTTCAAATAAAAGGTACGAAATTTCTTAGCTTATTTAATCATTGAAAAGCCGATGATCAAAGAGTGAATATCATGAATTTTCAAAACCTCGATATTATCATAACAATACTGCTAAATATTCATTTTGTCAAGCTAATAAAATAACAGTCTAGATCACACACCTATGAAATAATGGAAAGACTAAAAGTATTGATACTCTAAGCATATTATTCCTCGAAATAATCTAAAATAGAGTGAATTCAAAATATTTATTTAGTTAACTTCCAAATGTTGAATCCACTGTCAATGCAACCAGCTAAATATTGTAAAATGTTCACAAAAAAAGCTAGCTTGAGAACTTAAAGACAAACAAATGATCTTTAAGAATATCGTGCGACGTGATGCGGAAGCATCAAAACGGTCGATTTACGCTGCTTGCGAAATGGAATTAGAAGTACCATGTAATGTCATCTGCGGGACAGGATTCTACAGTTATGTTGTCAAAGCAACACAATTTTGTTTAGCCTCCATAATGGATGTTAACTGCTATGTCTTCATACCATCTTGTGATTTCCATGCAAACTTAATTCGCAAGCGACGAATGAAGAAACTGTGAACAGTAATTCCTAATTACTATTTAAAAAAAATGCTTTATTAGCAAAATGAATCCTCTTTTTTGTGAAAAAAATTATTTAAAATTGTTTGGAGCCTTTATATTAAATTCGAAAATTTTTTCCAAAAATATTCTAAAGCTGCTATGTTGCAATTGTGGAAAGACACGAGATCATGTCATGAAGATGACAGTACGTTGTGATATTTATCCAAATGGGTTAAGCTTGCACATGCTACGGAATAATTATTTCCACAGCCATTAAATATATGACGATATATTTTAAGCTTTACGTCACAGTTCAGAAAATTACTGACACCTGAATTTTGGAACAACTTATAAATCGAAATACTAGACATTTTTCAATCAACATATTGAAACTATCCAACAAAACAATCTATTAAGAACAACTTTCAATACAAAAGCAAATTGATTTATCAGAGGGAAGAAATAAGAATTATATGCTACAACATACTCCACTCTTCAAGATGACAATAGAGGAGCATTACAAAAAAATTTTGTTGTGACAGGCTATAATCACAAAAATCACCAAACATTGTGATGGTCGAAGAGAATAAGCTTGTTTACTTTAATTAACCGAAATATAGCTTCTCAACGTGAAATGTTTAACATAGATGAGATCAACTATGATAACTGAACGACGTTAAGCAGCGACTCAAAGGCCTGAAGGAACTCCAAAATTAAATTGGATTTTCAGAACATAAGAAATGTCAAAAATTCTTACTCTTCCCAAAAATTATTTACCAGAATATTGCAAAAAGAAACAATAATAAAGAAATAAGATGCAATCAAGTAATTGTAGTAAAAATGACTCCTAAAACTTTAAAGTATACTCGTGATAATTTGCAGTCATTTTTATGTGATTTTTGACAAATTTCAGAAATTTGAAACAGATCTGGATTAAGAACTATTTGAAAAACAAAACTTTGCTTGAAAAACAATTTTGAATGCCATCAATTCTAACGTAATACGCGAACCTTCAAGAACAGGAATGATAACTACATCTGGATTATTCTATCGCATCTCTATCAAACGAATTTCGCTGATATTCACGAGTGCTTCTTGTCATATGATGTTACCATTGTTCTAAAAATTGATTTTCAATAAAAGTCAGATCAGTCTTTAAAGAAAAAGCAATAATTTACAACATTTTCATGAATACAATGAATAGGAAATCACTATCATGAATTACAACCCACTATGATCGTAATGAGGTTTAAAAGAATACATAATCAGTCTACTTACTTGTAAAAACCGCTTTGAGCTCGTTGCCTTTTTGATAAACGAAGGTTAGATGATTCATCTGACGATGATTCGGTTGTACCGTCTTCAGACTTGTTTTGGATGACAGTTTCATGACCGTTAGCATCAAGACTCGAATTTTTAGAAATGCGACGTCTTTTTGGCACCGAAACTTCGTTCGCTCCTTTAATATCACTGTTTCTGTTGATGCTGTTTGCATTTCCACTTTCTTGACACTTTACAAGTGTAGAACGATTTGATGACAAATCAGTTGTTGCTTTACATCGTTTACGAAGTCCAGAAATACCTGCCGTAGAAACGCTCATTTTCTGCTTCGCTCCATCTTTTAAACTTTTTTCCTCCATAGATGATCTATCTAAATCTCCCTTTTTGGCTTCTCTAGAAGTTTTGCACGACTTACTTTGAGTTTTTTTAGATGAATCCTCTTTACGACTTACTGTACTTTTTCTGGAAGTTGTCTCAGAGTCGTCTTCACACTTGACAGACTTTGACTGCTTCTCTTTCGCAGTAACATAACTTCTTGAACTTGACTCTTCCTTGTTTTCATCTTCAAAGCAGTGTTTGAAATCTGGAAAATATTTAGAAAATTTTTCTGGATACAAAAGCTTAGCCGTTTTGAAAGCCCTTACAAGACGTTCCATAGCCAAATCTTCAACAGATGTGTTTTTAGAAGTTGATGTGGAACTTGTCTGCACTTCGTCAGCAGTTTTAAATTTCATTTCATCGTCTGGAGTTACTTTTTTCCTATTTTTAGAATCTCTGATCCAATTACTCGGTATCTGAAATTCACTAATCTGTTGATTATGAGCTTCGAGCACTTTTCTGGAAATATGGAATGCTTGCTTGATATTCTTTGCATCTTTTACATCTTTTTTTGACACATTTCCTTTACTTCCGCAGAACGACTTTCGTAATTTTGTCTCGTTGGACATATTTTTCTCTTTTTTGGCCGACGGAGGAAATGAAGAACGCTGGGATCGACTTCCTTTTTTTGAAATAACAGTTTGCCGTCCTGTTCTGCAGCGACGAGTATCAGTTGAAGTAGATATGTGCTCATCTGACTGATATTTTCCAAGACGCGTCTTCTTGCTTTCTGAGTTACTTGAACTTGAAAAATTCATTTCATTATGGTTGTTAGCAAAGGATTCTCCGGGACTATTTCGATAACCTAAAGTAAATATTACAAAGAAAAAATACTGGAATATACTTATAACTTGGCAACAAGATATCTATCAAATACTGTTGCAGAATCCTGAGCTCTTTCTACTATTTGGTACTTATGATGAGTGTTGTAGTACAAAAGTGTAATCTATCCACCAATGTTAATGATCTTTATCAACTACAATGATTTAACCTTTTCCTTTAGCTAGAACAGCATAATCTAGTATTTTACGCGGTCGACAACGTTCACTCCTATCAGTGCTCAATTTATCTACGCTATCGCATGGAAGTTTCGGCGACAAGGCAGGTTCAACGGCGCTTAACATTGTTTTCAGGTCCTGAAAAAAGCCTACAATACGCTGACAATACTCGCAGCGCACGAAAATAAGCTAAGATCATGTCAAGTGCCTTATATAAGCTATGATTTGGTAATATTTCCAAATAGTTCAAAGATATCAAAATTACCTGACGTTCTACGTTCATCAATCACTTTAGATCGAAATTTGCGTAACTTGCAATAATTACGTGATCAAATTCGCATGAATTTGAGTAATGTGTCCTTTTTACAGTTCATTCATTAGTCACAATCTAACCAATACTGTTTAATAGTAAAAATTAATATCAATGACAAAAATAGTTCCTAATGTTTGATTAGTGAAGATTCTGGAAAAGACAATTTACTTGTTCCATGTGCAGCCTTTTGAACAGTTGTACCAGCAGTTTTTCGTTTCCCTTTTTAGTGAGATTCTTCAGCACTGCCTGGAAATCAGCAATGAACTACATTCCTATGCCTTTCAGCAAAGTTATTGTAATATTAAAGCATTGGGGTCAAACATATCGCGAATATTTTAATGACCTAATAAAAATGCATAACATTCCTAGCGAAAACAAAGTTACATTAAAATGTCTTACCATTCGGTTACAAGAGCTCCTGCAGCACTTGCAACAATTCATATAAAAATGATATTTATGATATTTATCACTTGAAATTGAAACTCTCATTGAAACTTCATGAAAGATGATGAGAATTTGAAAATTCACACAAAACTATTTTAGTATTAAAAAAAAATCATTTATACATACTACGCCTACTACTGACTTTTTATTCCTAATATGAGAAAAATATTGTAAAATATTAAAGCAGGTAGCACTGATAAAGACCTAAACATATCCAAAAGTGAACATAAAATTTAAAAATATCAAATTTGGAGCACTTTCGTTATCTGCAGTAGGCGCGTCAACATTACATTTTTCTATATCTGCAACTTTTCTGAAATTACTGATCAATTTTCATCGTTGAAAAAATGTTTTAATTAGCAAAAAGCAACTTTCATGACTATTTCAAAACAACAAAAGAAATAAAGCAATAAAATGTATAAAATATATACTAAATCTAGTATTGAATGGTGTGAAATTTATATCTTCTCATTAGCATCAGAACTTCAACGGCACACAAGAAGTAATGCATGAACGAGCAATAAATATGCTTATGGTACTTTAAAACCTCAATGTTAAAAACTGCATGTGTTTTTTGAAATTAAGGAAAAATTAAGAACTGTTTTATATGCATGTACAGAGAAATGAAGAAACTCAAGATTCACAGAAAAAAATAGGAAAAAAGAAATAGAGAGGAATAAACGAAAAAATAGTACTCACTATCAGGTAGAGATTGTTTATTAATCCACTATCGATTGTGACCTTAGTGTACCTAACCTTAACGTACGCAACAATGCAAAACTGTTAGAGTCCAAATGTAACACTATATAACTGCCCGGTAACAGAATTAGAACTGCAACACAAGAGATACTACTGCTCAGTACTTCATTTACCTATTCGCTCATATACTACGGAACCTCCAAACCTGCTCTACATTTATTTTTACTTCAGTAGTAATTTCTATACTATATTAATTTGAAATGAACTTCGTTCTCAAACTTTCGTACTCCAGTAGTAATTTCTATACTATATTAATTTGAAATGAACTTCGTTCTCAAACTTTCGTACTCCAGTCCCTCTCTTCCCAGAACCATGAAACATTGATCTATTCATTTCGCTGATTTCTGCTGCAACAATACTTATTCTCCGAATATTTCTCCTATATTCTGGAAGAAATTTCGCACACACAGTTATATTTCAAAGCAATAAAAGAAACAAGACAATAGTTATGTAAATAAAGAAACAGCTCAGTAAGTGTGCAACTTATTTCTCATCTAAACTGAAACAAAACACATATTTACTTACAATATCATCTGCATGCGGGGAATGCATCATCCTGAAACTTCAGCCACAACTTATTTTTCCGATTTTCTGTGCAAATATCTACTACAAGCTTCAAGAACAAAATAGATGCAGTAATTTTTGCTTAACTATGGAAAATATCTTTTACTACAATTGGTTATTAATCATACGAATACTCCTGCAAAATTTTTACCTTATTTTTGGATATTCTGAATGTCCTCCGACGCACTTACACATTCTACTTTGTAAGTTAATTTGTTTACATTACTGACAGTTCTTAAGAAACAAAATTGCCTTAAAATAAAAAAAGACAATAACGAGTTATTAAGCCTTTGTATATTCATAAAAAACAATTAATAGCACATTACTTACGTTACCCTGTAATTTTCAATAAATCAAATTATAAATTTTGCTAGACAATTTTCTTTGTACACATAAAACACTTAGAAGATAAAACCGACACGTTAAGTAAATTCTAAACAATTAAATACTACAAAATAGCATATTCATTGATTAAAATCATTCAGAACTACCCATGGATCAATACAACAGCTTTCAATCAATATCTCTCTTACTCTTAATAATGCACTCATGCCTGATCAAAATGTTTCATTAATTTATTCCACTTTAATTTATGATTTCTTGATACTTGGCTGTCCGTTTAAATCCAAAACCTCACTAACAGCTTGGAAAAAGTTAAACCTTAATAATCTTAATATCCACATTCTCTAAATACTTCACTCAATCATAATTTATCAATAACTGGGGAGAAGAATAAAAATTTTCAACCAAACCTCGTCCAGAAACTGAGTGTATTATACTTTTCGGTCGATGTAATTTGCGATTCGTCTTTCCTTTTTTTAGCAACCTGTAATTATGCAAAATATTTTATAAGTTAAATGATATACAGAGTTAAATGGTAACTTTTATTTGTTTGAACACGTACGTAAATCAAAAAAGTAATTCTTAACGTTATATTTGAAAATATGGTAATTTGGCGATGTCTTATTATCCTTTCAAAAGTTGTAACTATTCTTTTTTCTTAAGGTAGCATAAAAATACTTGACTTTTTTATTTCGCCCACAAGTACTAGAAGAGGTAAATGAGAAAATAAATCTGTTGTCTGTGATAAAAACAAAAGTATTTTTCCACGTGACACATGAAAAACTAAGTATTATATTTACTCTCTGCATTAAATCGGTAGCTATATCATTAGTAATACATTCTGTCATTCTGCTTTGTGCAGAAAGCTTTTACGTAGAATACCACGTGAGCTTCAAGCATTGCTTGTTTTGTTGTGATATCGCCTGCTTGAACTTAACTTTACACATCATTGATTGAATTTAGTGATCATACTTACGGGTTTTATTCATTTACTGCGTCAATATTTGTTCTCAAAGAGCAAATTTTTCCATCAATAACAAACATCCATCTACATAAGAAATTCCTGAAGTATTGATTTTCAGTCTGTGTGCAGTATAGAGATAATTTTTCTGTGCTATCAATTTTCTATTTTTAAATAGAAATTTGTTTCATGATCAAAAAATGTGAGCAATTGTCATACTTTTAAACTTAGTACTCAGCACTGATAACAGGAACTTAGTACTGATAACTTACTACTGGGTTATCAGTACTGATAACTTATTGCTGAATTATCAGTACTTAGTACAAAGTATTAACTGATAGCAAGAAGTGATAGCAATAGTTCCAACAACATTTAAATATTTAGTGTTTTTTTCAACCTCTCAGTATCATTTGATAAAAAAATATGCTTGTGATATGGATTTATATCAGAACGTACGTATTAAAGTCTTAACTGATGCAGACTTGGTGTAAGACTGATCTAAAGAAACAATTTTATGATGCTGCACAATAGGCGTCAAGACAGGATATTTATATCAGCTCATATCCTTTAAGAAAAAAACATGTCAAAGGAAGCAAACTATCTGGTGTAATTAGCACATATAACCAAATTAAAGCAAAAAATAGAGAAAAATATTACACAACAAGAAAAAATGCAAATTTAATTTCGTATTTTTGTTATTCATCTTTATCTGGTCAGTGTTTTACTTACGTACATAATGTGTATTGCGACCAACACTTCATAAGTTTGCATGAAGTTGTAACGGTGGTTGGGCTAAAAAGTTCATCTTATGAATGAATAAAAGTTTATTCACAGGGGCTCAGTTGGAACATGAGTTTACTAACCCAGGCTAGGCCTGTACTTACTCAACTAACTCGATCATTACTCTTCCAAAATATTATAAGAACTGATAAACGTGGATCGCATAATTTATGGTATCCGGATGCAAAGTTTATGCGTGAATTTAAGGTAGTCTTATATTAAAATATTGGCCGAAAAGCAATTTTATGTAATAAAACTTTTTTTCATGTATTTAGTTTTATATTTTTATAAAAAATAGAACAGTTTTAGTTCCAAAAATTAGTGATTCTACCAGCGTATACATATATATACTTTCTTGGAAGCAAAAATGTCTTGATTTATAGAACATAATACAGTAACACTATGTTGTAGAAGGCAGGTGTACATGGACAAACATGCATGGCAGAGCCATTGGAATTTGATATTGATATTGGAATGGATAAAGTGGTTGAAGAAGCAAAATGGAAACCTACCGTAGCTGATTTACCAGAAATGCATGAAAAGCCTTTGAATTATTTCTTAATCAACTTTGGCCCACAGCACCCAGCAGCACACGGAGTTTTACGTCTCATACTCGAGTTGGATAGTGAGGTTTCTTTAAATTCATGTTTGATTTATTCAACTTTATTTGGCAATGAATTATGATATTGATTATGGCTAACTCATTGCTTGTGACAATGGAAAATACTAAGAAGAAAGCTGTTATCTCAATTATTCAAAGCTTGAATTTATACATCAGCGATTTTAGCCTTATTTCATTGTTTAATAAAAATTTCCATAAAAGAACGTAATGTTCCCATAATTTTAGGTGGTAATAAAAGCAACGCCACATATCGGTCTCTTGCATCGAGGTACTGAAAAATTAATAGAATACAAGACTTATACTCAGGCAGTGCCTTATTTTGACCGAATGGATTATGTATCGATGATGTGCAGTGAAACAGCATTTGCACTTGCTGTTGAAAAACTCTTGGGAATCGATATTCCTCCAAGAGCAAAATTCATAAGAAGTATGTCTATCATTATTTTTAAACTTCAATTTGTGAAAATGATCTATCCCTTTATGAATATGAAGTTTAAGTGTTATCCACTCAGAATAGTCCGTGATCCATTGTTCTTTGTGTACAGCTCTCATGAACGAATTGACACGGATACAAAATCATTTGATGGGTATTACAACCCACGCTTTGGATATTGGTGCTATGACTCCATTGTTCTGGATGTTCGAAGAACGTGAGAAAATGTTTGAATTTACGTAGGTTAATAGATCTTATAATTTATAACATATATTTAATAGTGGTAATTCATTTTATGTCTTTCAGTCTTAACAGTTAATTAAGGAAAATCTGTTGATGATTGTAAATCTTGACAGTCTAAAGTAAATTTCGATTACTTGGTATGAATTGGATTTACTGAAACTGCAGCTGCAGCTCTATTACAATGCTTTAACTCACTTACTCTTTCACTGTAGTGAACGTGCTTGTGGAGCTAGAATGCATGCAAATTATGTGCGTCCAGGAGGTGTTGCATGGGATTTACCACTAGGTTGGATGGATGATGTGTATGATTGGGCTGTACGATTTCCACAGAGATTAGACATGATGGAAGATCTTTTGACGGATAACCGTATATTCTTGGTAATTTTGTGTCTTTAATCAATAAACTAAGATAAATGTCTTGATGTGAAATAATTATAGTTTCCTGTCTCAAAATAATGCTTCATGCAGCACAGCATATGTTTGCAGGATACATATGCTTCATTTATATCTCCTTTTAGGCTCGAACTGTAGATATCGGACTGGTAAAAGCGGAAGATGCTTTGCTTTGGGGGTTTTCTGGAGTCATGCTTAGAGGATCCGGAATTAGATGGGATATCCGAAAAGCACAACCATATGATGCATATGATCAGATAGATTTCGATATTCCGATCGGCATTAAAGGAGACTGCTATGACAGGTATAATCTGCATTACATCAATCAGTGAATTATTTTCAGATTAAATTACATATTGCTCAATTAACATTTTTAGGTATTTGGTGAGGATGGAAGAAATGCGTGAAAGTATCAAAATCATTTTTGAATGCTTGAATAAAATGCCACAGGGTGAAGTCAAAATTGATGACCATAAAGTATCACCTCCCAAACGAGCTGAATTGAAAGTATAACATAAATCATTTTTCTTTGCTAGAAAAAGCAAGCATTTTCATTTTTTGGTAATATTTCTCAGATCAGTCGGAAAATTTGTTTCCATACAAATCAATATAAAATGATCATAATGATGTTGAGAGTTTCTCAAGTTGAATTCACAATATATTGGTTTAAATCATTAGAATTTTTAATTGCATTTTATAGCAAAATATGGAGTCTCTGATACACCATTTTAAATATTATACTGAAGGATACCAAGTGCCACCTGGTGCTACTTATGTTCCAATTGAAGCCCCTAAAGGGGAATTTGGTGTTTATTTGGTATCTCAGGGTGAATCAAGACCTTATCGATGCTTCGCCCGATCGCCTGGGTACTTTTTTATTTTTACTATTTTTGATTTTCTTCATTTCCTTGACTGATCATCAGTTTTCATTTTTTGTACTGTACCCTTTCAATTGAAATTACAGGTTCCCTCATCTAGCTGCAATAAATGATATTTGTTACATGTCCATGTTATCAGACGTTGTTGCTGTTATTGGAACTTTGGATCTTGTTTTCGGGGAAATCGATCGTTAAGAAATAAGTATCTGCAGGTTTTTGACTACATTTTCTACTAACTTTCATTTGGCAGCGTTCAAAAAATTAGTCGATGACATTATTACACCTGTCTCTTGTTTCTTGTAAGGCATATAAGCGTATAATGTTCAGGTATGCTAAGTGTACTGTCATAAAGGTTCTGTAAATAAATAACGAATTTATTTTCGTATATAGCTTAAGATTCTTCACGATGAATAATTTGATCGGGAAAAAAAGTATTCAAAAACGATATATCATCATATTAAGGTAATGTTGTTTCTTGACCTTTATGAACATACATATACACACTACTCTAGTCATCTGTTTTTTTCTTTTTTAATATATATATATATGGAAAATGCTTATTTCATAAAAATAATTTTACTTTGTTCAGCAACCAAAATTAGGACATTCGTGTTTTGCCCTTCGGTTTTTTAACTATTGTTATAAGTTTTTTAAGCCTTGATTTTTGTTAAATTATTCGAAGTCATCAGTACAATCTTCAATTCTTTTTTTGAAATATTAACATTTAATTTTTTAAGTTTTTGAATGTTTCATTTTCTATGATATGCTACATGGATGACTTCAATTTCTGAGCTATTTGTGATTGTACAAATTTGTTTTACCTCATGACAATATACCACATTTTCATTACTGTGCCTTTCAACTAACTGTGTGTAAGGGTGTATAAAATATCAGTGACAGGTGGAGTAGCTGCACCCACTACCCCTCAATCATTCATTTAACGTGTGCAGTGTTATCTTATTCCATCAATTTCTTCAATTAAAATTTTAGTTTTTCATGATTTCTTATTTCAGTGCTCATCTTTCATTCGTCATCATTTTTGGAATATATTTTATATTCGTGATGAATGAATTCGTTTTTGGGTTTGCGAAATGCTTACTTGATGTAAACAATCATAGAAAGTCATACTTGCTTTGAGTAATAAAAGTAGATGCAGTGTTACGTGATGCAATTTTGCGATTAATTAGTTCGCTTCAATTACTTCAAATTCTAAAAACCGTTCACTAAAAGTTTGTCATTATTGTATTTATTTCATCTCATACTCATTTTAGATTGTTGAACATTTGGTAATACTGTCGCTGCTTACATTTGGACAGGTTAGAATTGCTTTATTTCAGCTTATGAAAATTGAACTTTTTAAGATATTCAATGTTTCAGTTACTTAACAAAGTTGATTCCTGATTTTATCCTGATCTATTAAAATTGTGGTTTTGGAGAATCTGTTCGTTCTTACTTATTGAACTATGATCAAATACAAATGATTCTAATTAATTGGATGGAATTTTGTTTCTTATAGATGCCAGTATTGCTTGGCGATGTCAGCTCCTGTAATAGTGATTTGGGACGCATTCTTTATGCAAATCCGAATGAATGGAATGTCAATATGAACATTGTTTCTATAAATACTATATCGGGCATCCTAACTTCGCATGTTGAATATCAGTTGTCGATTTCAGTTAATCATTTGTTGAAACTGTTTCTTTCTGATAATTACATACACTTGCTTTGATTTCTCGCAGTATGTAATAATGACTAGTTTCTTTAACCGTGTTTTTACCCTTTTGTAGGCTATTCCTCGTAATTGTATTGCCACTGATGCGCGATGTTTTGATATGTGGACTCGTTACAGAGATGTGAAACGACTTTGGGAGCAGTTAAATGATTTGCACAAAAAGGTATTAGTTTAATGAACTTTTCTTTACCTAATAGTTTCATGCAAATTAATATCGACTGTCATTAATTTGCTTGGAATTGTGCTTATTTAGCTTTCGACTTTTTAGAATTTTCAAGTTTTTTTTGGTTTTATTTAAGTTTTCATTCATTAATTGTTATCAGTGTATTATAATTTCACTGATATCCCAAATATAATTTCAGTTACAACTTCATGGCCCTTTTCCCCAAATTGCTGAAGCAGTCATTTTTGGAAATCAACGGTCTCAAATTATTGGCGAAAGAACGTCATCAATAACTACTTTTTTGAACTATGTATTTGCACATCCTGTTTTACGGCAGAGTAAAGCTCTACAAGATTATGTTTTGGTTAGCTTCTTTATTTTATGATTTTGCAATTTTATGATATTATATATTACGCTTAAAATATGTAGATTTGTATGTTGTAATATTTTCATCGGTTAGACATATTAGCTATGTGATTTATCGTTTTATGGAGTGCAGGTTTTTTAAGCTTGCAGAAAGCACAAGAAATTAAAAATCAGTCCAGCCGTTATGATTTACTGGAACCAGTTCGGAAGATATCTGCTAAAACGGAAGGTGCATTTGAAACGGAAGTAGTTCATGTTTCGCAATACGAAGATGAGGAATCAAAATTTCTCGTAGTATCGGATAATAATAGCTTTGAATTAAAATCATCAAATTCAGCTACAGATCAAGGCAATGAACTGCCTCATGCAGTGCCATTAGACATGAGGAATGAAGTTATGTCGACCACAAGAGAAAATTCTGGATTATCAGATTCGGCATTGGGCGAACAATCTTCTTGCAATCCTCCAACTTATTACTGTGTCGCTCTTTCACAGCAGTCGCAGCCGCAAACATACCGATATGAAACAGATCTCCGTCCCCATCGCTTTCCGCACTCCACTTTATCTTGAATTATATCTTTTTTATCTCACGGTCAAGTGAGGTACTTATAAGTGCATTCTATCATCTGCTGAAAAAATGTGGTCGTTGGTTCGAAATACTTGAAGTAGTTTGCAGAACTATTCATTTTTATAAAAGTGGGAAATTTAGATGAATGTTCTGTTCAATTCATCGTTGTAAAATTATAGCAAATCATGCTTAGTTTTTGTATGTTGGAAGAGTGAGAAGGAGTTGTAAATAGTCAATTTTCAGGTTTTATTTTTAGTCTCATTTGGCAGATATTGTCATAGGTTCCGTTATGACCATTTTGTAAAAATTATAGGAATTACTAATACTTTTTATGTGGACCATATTGACTTTGTATGGCACTGTCGAATTTCAAATATATACCTCGTAAAATCTAATCAGGAATGCCGAGACGCACTAGTCATATGTTGATATTTTTCATATTGTAATATTTGATATTTCTGATTTGTATTTTAGCGTTATTTCAGCCTTTGTGCTATATTTGAGGATACTTATTTTTCAAGTATGAATGAAAAATAAACGATATATTAGTCCAGGAATTGATAATATTTCTTAATTTGACAATTCTCGAAATTCTAGTGAAACCAGCACTCATTCTATGACTAATAAGAAATTAACTGGCTATAATTGTCAACTGTATGAACTAACTTTTGTAATGTAATAAGTAAAAGAAACCACAAGTGAATGAATGTGTTTTTTTGCATGTTGGATGGACTGTAGATTTTCAGTTTTATTGTTGCTTTCAAAGTTGTGTGTAGCTACTAATGAGGCATAAGTGTAGTTGTGTGTAACTACCATAATGAAGCATTAGTATTTAACGATATATTTGTCTTTCGTTATTTTTATCACGTCATTGATCTTCAGGAATGGTCTTTTCAGTTTTTTATTTGGCTTACTCTTCATTGTTCCATTACTTTCTACAATACATTTCATTTTTTTGCTCTGTTTAGTTGCAGTTGACGTATTTAAAATTCCTTCATGTCTAATTAATATACCACGATGGCCAGCATTTCCCTTTCAGAACGTAAATTAATTTCTCTTAAAATTAAGTCTAACTTATGCTTTATTTTAGTTCGAATAGAATTATCTCTGGTCTCTACGACTAACCAGAACATAGAAAGCTTCTTTTGATGTGTTTACAGCAATCATTTAGACGTAAAGATTACTTTATGTCATAAACGAATTGATACATCACTGTTGCTATGTACATGTGTTTAGTGTTTGTTGCTGTGCATTGCAAAACTGCATATGTTACTCACCCTTTCTATCGTTACTTAAAAAAATTTGGGATATTATTATTTGTGGATTGGTAGAATAAATATTACATCCATGATCTGTTGTACACACGAATCAGTAAATTCGAAAATTATAATGCGCACAAAAGACACCTCCTTTCACGGAAAAATTTGTGGTTGTAAGTTTGCATTGTCTTGTTCGTTAAATGAGTCATATAAGCAAGGCTTAAAAATCGGAAGTCTCTAAAGGTGGCAATGATCCTATTACTAGAGTCACAGTAGTGGTTGAAACATGAGCACGGGGAAACATAATATTTGAACTGTTTATTATGTTCAATTCAGATTCTGAATACAATACAGGTGATGCATACTAAGACTTACATTTAAGAAATTAAACAACATCAGTAATCTAAAACAGTACGGCGCACAAACCGCCACCAGAAAATTAAACCCTTATATGCTGGCAAGACAGACGGATATGTATATATATATATGAATACTGGTGAATAAGGCGACTGAACTAAACTAGAGATGTGGTCAATATAAACCAATTGATCAAATAGGCGCAAGAAAGAAGATATGCAGCAAATATCAGATATCGCTAGTTCTTACACGGTAAGTTTAATTTCCCAAATGATTCAAACAGGAATTTTTAGTCGTGAAAGATATGGTATTAAATCGACGATCGAAATATACAGACACTAAACTTTACTTAGCGTCACGAGTTCTGACATAATTTTACATAAAAATATCCCAAGCCTGAATTCTAAAAGACTTCAAGAATGACTGTAGAGAGTAGATACAGATTGATTAGTATTGATATACTCCACTGGTGCAAAATATAGTGTTAATCAGGAAGAAGTATCATCGAAAAAAAACTATGTGCTTTAAAGGATATCTCCCAATTCTACCACAGTTGAAAGTAGAAGAGCGATAACAAATATGAAGGCATAACAATTCTAAGCAAAAAAAAAAATAGCAAGGCCCACAGCTGGACAAAACAAAGCGATTACAATACGGGTTGGCTTCGTCAAAAAACTGACTTTAAAAGACGGCAAATTTAAACCTCATATCCCGACATCACTCCTGAAATCAATGATTCAATTACGGAACAACAGAGACTGATTAAAAAACTGTAAAATATTATAGAATGAATAGGCAAGTGAAAATAAACATCAAATACTGAGCTGGAGATAGGCAAACAAAATGAAAATTCACAAATTTGTAAGTAATTTCCTAGAGAATAAAAAGATCAATTCTCGAAATTGTGCATAGAGGAGAAAATCACAATACTACAATGATAATGAAGCCTGCGTGAGACAACCACGAAATCATACAAAAGAAATAAGCGAATAAATTCACATGCCATTTCTGGAATTCAGTCAATTATACAGAATAAACAAGAAATTAGTGCTAGCGACAAAGTTAAGTGAAGAACTTCATATTTGAATGAACGAAAGAAGAGAAAGGACTGATAAAAAACAATATTAATAATGTTGGGCTTTGAAAATGCAAGCATGTAATCAACATGAAACAGTAATTCCCTACTGATTCCAATGAGTGCTTAACGAAGGATATAAACATTACGCCAGCAATTACAAATGTCGAAAACCACTTGCGAACAGTATTTTAACTAGTAATAAAAGAATACGCTTTATTTATCTCCTGCCCCATAAACCTGCAAAACGACTGAAAAAAATTAGGCTGAAACATTAAATCTGATGAACAAGTTTCAAGATTCTATTTTCAAATATCGCTAACCACTGAAAAAAATTTAACAACTTTAACAACCACAAAGGCAAGAAAGGCAATTAAAATGTTTCTGAGAAAAGAACTACAAATACAACAAAAGGCACTTCAGATCATCAAAACGTATTAAGAATTATTAATATAAGCAAAGAAGTGGGATATGATTGAAAACAAATGAAAAAGCAATAAGTGACATCCAAAGAAGTTTCCGAAGTGACAATAGTAATACAACGCACAAAGATAAAGTGTGGTCCAAATCAGAGGATAAATTTCTCAAAGGTTAAAGAAGCAAAAATATGAAAAAGGCAGACATAACTGATCTGAAGTAATCATATTACAACACCGATATAAACTTACAAGAATACAGACAAGTTTAGATTACAAAAACCTATAAACACAACACAAATACAAGAAAAAAAAAAGACCCAAGATGCAAAATATTTGCAAAACACTTCCAGAAAATGAGCACAAAATCCTGTTAATTTCAAGATTTTTTGACTGGCTAACTGATAATATCTCCTCTAAAATTGCAACGATGAGATCCAGTTTAAAGAGTTAGAGAACAATGCAGTCTACTTCCAGAAAGTGCACAAAAATTCCGGTTACCGATCGAAGGATTTCTGTTCTGAAAATAAATAAAAAACTAATTCTAATATTTGATAAAACTTGTGATCAGAAATTCATGGTAATATTCAATTTATAATGAATAACTCTAATGAACGTACCCGCGTTTACATTACTGCAGCGATAAGTACTGAGAAGAAGCTCCGCAATTTGTTCAAGATGTGATGCAGCTTTTGTTATTGTTGCAATACTATCCACTAATTTAGATTCACGGGCAAGCTGTTGTTCAAATAGAAGTTCTGCACGTTGTTGTAGTTCTTCTTGCCGCTAAAACACGTGAAGCTTTTAAATGCAAAGTGAAATCTTAAATTTTTTTCAGTGAGATATAAGGTAAAGACATATCTTATGATCACGCAATATGAAAACAGTAACACTCCTAGCACATGAAATACAAATACACAAAACAGTTCAACCTTTACAACATTCATTTGTCTTGTAAATAATTCTGTCATAATTGTCGTCTCATGCCCTCCATTACTAGTTGGAACTGATCCTGTCTTAGAGAAATTAGCTGCAGCGGAAAGAACATCGAAGGGTTTGGAAATTAAACTAACGATCTGAAACATGTCTATTCACAGCTCAATTTAAAAAAAATCCCACAAAAACTTAATCATTGTGAAATGCAAAACAAACTGCTGGAAGTTAAAAACAATCTCAGAAACACTTAGCTATTAAAAATAGCTCAACTGAACTCGACTAAATGATGAACTACATTGTCCAATTGAAAACAAAAATTTTTAAAAACTAATCTAAACTCTTGTTTAAGCTACTTACCGGTGAAGTTTTTGTGACTCCAACGCAACTTATGTTGTTGTAAAGTACAGGTGAATTATCCTTGTTGATATGTGGCACGTATTTTTTATTACCTAAATATAGTAAACTATACTTTCGACCTAGATTTGTTTAAATACAATTATATGAGATTAATGAATATCTCGTCACTATCTAAACGAAATTCAGAGAAAATAAATGTCTTTCCCAATGACCCAAATTCCGCTCCAGTGACAGCCAATCAATGATTATGGTCAGTGTTGTTGCATTAAGAAAAAAGAAAAGTTAGAAATAAAGTCCATTAAATCCAGTGCAATCATAATGAAAGAACATTCTAGAAGGTAACCTATAAATCATTTTGCTTGTCCACACAGAATCAAACCTATTTTAATTCTAAAATGAAAGAGATTTCAGAACAAAAAAATCTTTTTCTCACTTCTTGAGCTTCCAATCAATATCACTTAAAAGTTGTAAAAAACATAAGTTTCAAATGTTCTAAGGCTATAAAACGATGACGGAATATTTGATAAAAAACAAAACCTGAGAGAAAATATTACCATTCTCAGGATTATAATTAATTAACAAGTTTGGAAAAATGACCGACTTCGGGTTTGACGTCGGTAATGATCTCTCTGAAAATAGACAAAATACTTTTAAAAAATTTTGATATTATCTGCATTCTCAAAACTACCGAGTGATTTCATGATTGGAATAAAACAGAAAGCAGAAAACAGACAAAAAATTAGTGATAATTTTTTCCTGAAAATTCAAAAATTATATATATATTTATATATATTTCGATTGCTGCTATCAAAATTAAAACTTTATTACTGTTTTTTTCCCTTACCATTTATTTAGATCTGTAATTATATTCTACATTTTCTCATAAGTCAATATAATTTCGCTAACCTGCATAACTATTTTCTGGTATCTGAATTTTTTTATCCCCACTTTCTCGTCGCATTAAGGCTTCCAACTGCATATAAAACGGCTCATTGTTTTCATTTACTGTATTCAAGGCTTTGTCACCATTCTGATAAAGCATTCGAACCATTTCCATTTCTGCTGGTGTGAACCTTATATTCGTATCTTGTGGTACTATACCATTACTCGTTTCTCTCCTTCAAAACTAATTTGTAACCTTAACATTCAAAATGCTATTAAAAATGAGATATAATTAAAGCCTATATTTTTTCTCTTGGCATAAATCTAATGATTAAAATATCCCACCGTAAAGCCTCAATTTTCCCTCGAGCACCAGCTTGTATATTTTGAATCTTCTTTTTTAACCTATTCACTCCAGAATGAATGCCGAACTCTTCAAAAAGACGGGCGTCAATAGCGTCCCACATCTGATGTCGCGCTTTCCGATCCTCCTTTTTCTGACTGAATGTTCGTAAGAATGCTACAATAATTAATTGCTATTTATTGCTTTGACTATTCGACTACTCTTGCAAATAAGTAATAATAGTTCTTATGAAGTGTAACTCCCCAAAAAATGATACATTACTTTTTCTTGATTGATGTTTGCTTTCAAATTTTTAATAGCATGAAAAATTTAATGGTTTTTTAAAAATTACTTATTATAAATCAACATTATCTATGCATCAAAAATACATCACAATTGAAATTTTGTCTAAGAAGAATTAGAAAAGCCAACCACGACATCTTCTATACAATTCTACTAGACGTATACACATTGGCATTGGGATAGTCATACTACTTCCAGATTCTTTCATAGGCCAGTCTTCTGAAACAGATCTTGTTTGATATACACTATTCACTTCTTTTTTAAAACATATCCCTTAGAATGCACTGGTAACAAACAATAAATGACATACTTTTTCATCCACTTTAGCTTCTCTAGAGCAGAAAAATACGATTTGTAAAATACTACATGCGATAAAGTTAAGTAGTAATTAAGAGCCAGCACATTGTGCAACTGTTCGAGGGAATTATGATATCAATTTACCTCTCGCATTACCCAGATCATCACGTGCTTTTTTAGCTTTTGGACCATCATAATCAATAGTTCCTGGCTCATTGAACGGGCTCTAAAATCATGACTGTTGAAACTATGCAACTAATTACAAATCGAAAGCACCCAATTTAATACGAAAATATTACTTGAGTGAATTAGGAACTTCAGTGCATAAAAAGACGTAAAGTAATTACGTCACATTCCGAAAGTCTTATCAATTTATTAAAGAATTTGTCAAACCTCCATCTTTTATTGTATCAAATTTTCTCAACAATGCAAGCAAAAAATGATACAAAATGGTATAACCTCAACATGCTCGTTAAATATGTTGTCGAACATGCTAGTCATTTCATCGCTTTCAGAACTGTTATCAACTGCTCCACCCATGATAGATTTCTCATCTGAAAATAAACCGTAAATCGCAGTAATGGGTTCCATATTTAAATACATTTGGTTCGTTTAGACAACTTATTTTCAAAATGTCATGAAGAAATAAGTGAACAACAGATGAAATTAGCTTTACTTTTCTATGTAATTTACTATTCAATAGTGAGTAATATACCTGCTTGACCGTTTGCACTTAGCAATCTTGAAATGCTACCTAGAATCTGATTAGCAAAAAAGCTCGAAACTTCCTCTTCATGATCATTCATATTTGTACTATTTGCTGGACCACCTTCACCAGAATAACAAACCTAAAATTGGAATATTTGCAAATAATTGATTTCAAAAATTAAAGAACTGCCATCAAGCACTGCTTTTTTACACAAAATTATATAGTGGTTGAAAGCTTTGTAAAATCACCTAGTTTTTCACTTTAAAAACATCTTCACTACTCAATGCATCCAAAAATGAACTCGTTTCTGGAATGCGAAATATAAAATGACATAGTGCACTTATACTGGTTTTCGTAATGAAAAGAATTGGAAAAGTCACCTCCTCTGATTCTGTTTTCATTGCTAACTCAGGCTTATTCGCAACAGCAAAATCTTCTCTGAAATTAATATAATACTGCTTTACCAAATACAATACCAAACATAATGCTGAACACTGTAGATATAAATTTTGTACAAACTTAAAAGAATATCCTTTCTCGTCAACTTATCATCAACATAAAAATAATTCATAGTGAGAATAATAAGGCCATTAATTTTTAGAGAAAAAAGTGTCCTTAAGATACTGAAAATTTTACGCCACTATTACCATAATTCTTTTTTAATAAAATTTAATTAAAAACTTTTTCATCCGGAAATAAATTCCAGTTAAATTTAAAAACGAAAATAACTCAAATTTCTCCGATACGAATAAGATCAAAAAAAGTACTTGACATGCTAAACTTACTTCTTTATGACCATGCGATGTGTGCGCCTACAACGGGACATGAATCCCTAAAATTTATGTTACATAAGAATCCATCCAAAGTTATGTAACTTAAACTTTCAATTTAAGTTAAACAAAATTTCCGCACATTGTATCTAAGGCATTCTAATGAATCTTAGTGAATGCCTCAGATTTGATATGCTAAATTCTTAATAACTGAAATTGGCAAATTCAACACAAGCAAAAACATTTTGCTAATAGCGTGTGAAAAAATATAAATAATAATATATATGGTAAACTGATATAATGCATGTACATAATAATATATTAGTAAATTGATATAATGCATACAATCTAGACTAATATAAAGCCTGTAAAAGTCAAAAAATGTATTTATCCCAGACATACTTTTAGACAAGGAATTAAGATAGACACAAATCACTAAGGAAGGAAGTGCAAAGGAAAGTGCGTCGGACGCAAAGGAGACCACTGACGACGCGTGCGCATAGACCTAGAACTGGTCTAGATTTCAAGTAGATGTAAATAACGCGGTACAGCTGAAATAGAGATAATCAATATGCAACAATTTCATCTCATCATGTTTGATGAGAGTAAAATACTACTCATTGATTTTGAATTTTGAGAATATGACAAACTATGAATTCAATAGACCAGAGGCCTCGTGGCGCAACGGATAACGCGTCGGTCTACGGAACCGAAGATTGCAGGTTCGATTCCTGCCGAGGTCGCCACTTTTGTCATCTGATTGAAGAACTCTCCAGTTCCAAGACTACTCAATAGGACTTCCAGGTAGGTACGCAGCGGGGTTCGTTATTGCTGCTTACTTCCATTACCTTGTGAAAGGTATCATAGTGCGACTGACTTTGTGACATTGTAAAGTGACAGGAATTAAATAATTAAATATGAGTTTGCAAGTTATATAGCAGGACACTTTGGTGTAGGTTTTGGACATCAATTCATAGAAACTTAATTCTGATCTAATCAATATTCGAATTAAGGATCAACCAAATTTGTTGATAATTTCCCGAGTTATCTGCATGAACAAATAGTGTAACTAAGCAGCAGCGCACTACTCACATACATTGGGTGTAAATATTTCTGCTTCATTAAAAAAAGTTCCAAAAACACCATATTAGGTTTCGCAGTAAATACAAAAAATCAACCAAATACAACTTGGGAAAATCATTATTGCTTTCAAGTTGTACATGCCAGTGTGAAAATGGTATAACACTCCCGACATTTTTGCCCAAGGATGTCTAATTTAATATGAAATGTTTACGAGACTGAAATATTTCACTGCCTCAATTATACCTCATAATGGGAAACAAGACTTGGGACCATTTTCCAAAATAATGAAAAAAGGTTTCTAAGTCGTGATACGTGCCCACAGTACAGTCTACCTTCTTATTTCAACTGATAACTTCAATTTCTTCATGCTTCAGTCATAGTCATATCTCTTTAATCTACTCTCCTTGCTTCACATCAGTTAGAAGCGAAATAATTACTGTGTCCATTAGTCAATACAGTAACATTTATTGCAATCCAATTTTCAAAACAAATCTTATCTTCTGTTTGCTAAATGGCAACTGGAGCCAGCAACGAAATTTAAAAGATGTAAAGAAATAGCTAGTAGCTACTGAACTTTTAACTTCCTAGCACTATCTACATCTAGTATCGAGAAATTGCGTCAAGAGCTGGTTTCCGTAATTTTGGAATACAGTTAGTACCAAACATTTCATTTCCTTCTTTAAAACGTCTTAACTAATTTCACTTATTTCAAATTGCAAAGCTATGTATCTATTACAAATCAAGAATCATAACAGAAAATAACAATTTTCTCCCAAAAACTGAAAAAACAAACGCATTCTGCAATTACAAATAATTTCGATCTCTATGCTAGCAGAAGCTGTTCTTCGAATCAGCGATGTATGCCAAGACACCTACTTCGAGGAAAATGCGCCACATGAGCTTAAGGTTTACCCGGACGTAAGGTGCCCCACGTCCACATAATTATGTAAAGGGAACAATTATAACCTGAGCAAGCTTATACTTGAAGTGGTTAACCATGCTTTGGATGAATTCAGGAGGGCGATTCTCAAAACGTACTTAGCAATTATTATATCACACCTTCAAACTAAATACAAACCCCTAGACAATCCAACCGCTGAAAACCTGCAAGCAATAAAGAAAGCGCTTTCGCACAGTGAAATAAAAAAGAAAATTCGTCATTCAGAGCTATTCATTCAAGAGTAATGAGAAAGCCTCAGTGTGGTTGCAACAAACAAAACCTAAGATAAAATGCGATACTGGTACCTACAAGCTAGAAATATGTTTGAAGTCGAGAAAAATATGCGCACACACTGCAGGGAAACGCGTGAACGCAGTGCGAAAAAATGTTTAATCATGATATACTAAAAGGAATAAAGCGGTGCAACAAGGTGTCTTGGGACCGTACAAAAAACACAGTCTTGAAGAATTACCAAAAATTATGATCTGGAAGCATGCCAAGCCACTCTGTTCAAGAGAGTCATGAATGAGAATGTGGAAACGAGTTGATAATAATAGCGACTAGAACAAGTTCAGATCAACGGGACATCCTGATGCACAATAAAAAATGACATGAAATAATCCTAACAGAACTTGGCATTATTAGTCAGCACAACTTGGTAGCATCAAGACCGAGAAGAGGCGAAAGTAAGATATACTAGCCAATCACAGATGGAATTCAGAACGAAAATAATTCCTTACGTGATTATGTGGAATGTGATAGGAACGAAATTCCATTATATAAGCATATAAGCAAGTATTTTCTTATATATTTTATAAAAGCTCACTCTGCTACTTCCCAAAGCACCTTTTGACCTTATTTCCGTTTTTTATTGCACCCATTGCTACAATTTAAATTAAATGACTAAAAAATCCTGATAAAGTTGTATATAAGTAATTTGAGAACATCAAAACATTGGACCCAAACAGAGGGCAATTTGCACAGCTTTTCTTAATAAGAAAAGAAAAACTGCTGTAGAAACAGGAGAGTTCAACTGCTGGCATTCATTCATGTAAACTATTTTCAAGTTCAACAGCTCTTGTCCAACATTTTTGATCCACATAATTTTGACCCATTAATGATGCCAAACACCTGAAACAAACCACTACAAAAAAAGCAAAAATAAAAAAAAACGCGCAGTAAAATCTTATAATTTGGATTATTCATGCATTCCACTGTATTATTTTTATTATTATCAAAAAGTTTCCCGAGCTATCATTACCTCAATCATAAAAAAAACTGAAACTAAAACTTTTGATAACAGGCACCAATAAAGCTTTGAAACCATACTAATTCAGAAAAAGCTAACTTTGAAATCATTAGCATCCGATGTAGCCTATTGGAATTCCGTTCAGTATTTCTATTTTTATGTTGCATTTCCAAAAATTCTTGGATTGATAACTGAAATTTTAAAGAGGTCAAATAAACTTCTCGTCCACTAGAATTTGCAATTTTTCAAAATAGTAGGTCTTTCTGAAAACAAGACACCCACTTCTTGAATTTCTTTCCCGATTTCAATGTTGCCGAGATTCTTACGACAAGATAAAAGCGCATGGCGACATAAGTTAAGTACACTGTCATGTTCCACTCCATACTGTTGTATGAAACGCATATCTACCAGATATGACTTTGGTAACTTGATAGAACAATGTTCCTAAGAATGAATGAATCAGGTGTTCAAATTGGTGAAAAAAACAAAAAGAAAAAACACGAGTGTCGTTTACAGTTTAGAAACTCCAACCTTTGTGAACATATCTTGACGAATTACATTTTTTTAGAACTAAAAAAGGTTGCTTTCTCCACTTTAGATGTGAATTAAATTTCAAAAACTTGCCTCACCAAGAAAACATTTTTCTCCACTCAGAATGAATACAGTAGCACCTGATTCGATTTCTACCGTCTGGTATGGAAAAATGAATGGCATATTCCCAGTTAACAAAAAATTAGAGACTATTTCAAAATTTTTCATGCCTGAAAAAACCACTGACATATATATGTGAATCGGTAGCCTATCATAACCCTAGTTTTTGCACAATGAAATTCCGTAATACGAAACTTTCTGGAATTAAATAGAATCATTCTGCATCAAAATAGACAATAACATAAAATTACTGAGATTATAAGTAATAGATTCTACATTGTAAGAAAAATAAAAGGCTTCATAAAATTCTTATATCCATATACGGTGCAATATACTGATGAAAAGAAAAAAAATTGAAATGCGGTATTTAAAAAAAAACCTATGTGAATAAAGTTTTGAATATCTATATCTCAATACTTATTTAAAATGACAAGAAGAAAATACAAGATAAAAGATTACTTTAACTTTTTATCCATCAAAACCAGACAAATCAAGGGAGTTATAATAAATGAAATACATCCTACACGAATTAAGTAACAAAATATAAAAACAAATGAAAGAATAAAATAACCTTCTTTACTGAGAGATAAGTCGTTGATTGGTAACTTTGTCTCATCAATAATTATTAAAGTATCATCCGACACTTGTAACAAGCCTTGTTCAAAGCAACCATCAGGTCTCATATATGAAGCCCATGACTCTTCCAACATCTTTTCTGACATTTCGATAACGTGTACCTGTACATCAAAATATTTAAGTGAATATGATGATAAGATTATAGAAATTCTAAAGTTGAGAAACTCAACTAATAACCATATCAACTCTCTACATCGATCAATCACCGCTTTCCACTGATTATGATCGAAGTTCACGAACGAAGTAGAATCAGTTAAATATAAGAGGTAAAAGACAAAAGGAAGATTGCCATTGCTTTTTGTATTTTATATGAAAGTTTGCAAAAATATTGAGTGTCATTCTAGGACGAAATGGAACAAAGAGATATAGGATGAAACTTTATTTTTATTTGTAATGTACAGGAAAAAAGATGAACATACCTTCGATATGAAAAGCTTGATCATCTCAATTATCGTCTTGCTGTCACAGACATTTTTCAACGTATATGGAAGTGAATTAACCACTGATTTTTCAGGCTGAGCGGATCTTAAAATAGAATCATATATTAATTTGCATTTTTTCACTGGATCAAAACAGGTACTGTTGAGTGAAAAAAATACATATTACCTCGAAACTATGAACCGAGAGACTAAAAGTTCAGCCACAATTTTACTGTCCAAAAACCTTTCCAAAGCATCCAGAGTTGCTTTGATACCGCGTGCATGCACATCAGGACAGTCTAGTACCTGAAAGGATATAATAGTGTAATATTTATCAATATCGTTAGAATGGCTTTGATATTTTAGCAATGAAATAATTGATTATGAAGAAATATGATGATAAATTTTTACGACGAATCCCACACAAAAAAAGCGAAAAAACTATTACTTTATTATTTTAATGCATGCTAAAATGGTATAATTTTTTAAGCAATCTTATGTTTATAATGATTTTTTTATGTTGCGTAGTAGAACTATTTTAATTTAGTGTTTCACATGCTTTTTGCAATATTGCTTCGCCTGATGTCGACATATAAAATTGAAACGCTCAACATATATTATAAAAATCACGAGAAAACTAAATAAATATGCCTTTACTACTTTCAAGCTCTGAAGTATTACAAAGCATGATTCAAATTAGTCCCTACTTCTGGGTAAACAGCTGATAAAATGCTGTAACAATCCACTGGTTCATAATGAATGACATGTAATGTAGCTTCGCACAAAGAGCTTTTGGAAACTGAGCTAAAATCACATTCCCTAAAAACTTGAGCAACTGTAATATTAAAAGCTAGCAAATAAGTCACGACAAAATATATGTGAAATTTTAGATAATTATATGAAGTCTTATTAACAAAATAAATCAAAAAATAGCACAAATGTACTTTTTTTGAATTACAATATACGATCATGACTCATCACATTCAACATTATTTAACCAAGAAATCTTAATAAAAAATGGTAGTGAAAACTTACTCATCTGGAATTTTGTTTAAATCAATTATGCCATATAAATCAAAAACCATATTGGGACTAAATAATTCACTTTCACTGCTGTAAAACTGAAAATATTTACTAAATCATTTCCATATGTTTTTCAAATTCACATCAATAACTAGTTTAGATATGAATAAAATTATTTAATTACAGGTAATTTGAAAAGATAGTGAAATAGCATTTAACGTCGAAATTCTGCAATATCTCAGTAACATTAACCTTGACGGAAACTTTTGATTTTTCATCTTTCAGAAATGCATCAACTGATTTCTGATGATTTTTGCCTGAAATAAGTCATTTTGCAATAATTAATGCCAACAAAAGACATCTAATGATTGTTTGTGAATAAATAAAGATATAATGAAGTTACTGTGTTTGTGGAGAGACAAAATAAAATGTAGTAAATCATGAATAATAAGTACACTCTTAATGGGAAATACTTTTTGAAATATTTTTCCATAAATAAACAAAAGCATATCACTAACAACTCAAGGTTTTTGTATACCATTCCGCTGAACCTCTTTCTGGTACCACATTATAAACATAACGATGACTGATACCTTTAATTTCTTCTATATTCTAAAATATATATAGTTTAGTATTTTGTCTCGCTCAATGACCAGTATTTAAATATTTTCTCGACCTTTAAAAATCTGAAATATTGCTACTTTAAATGCATACTGCTTCTAGGTAATAATGAAGTGAAGAATTATAAGAGTTAAAGACAAAAAGAAAAATATGCTACTAACTAAGCACTGGATACAATCCCTTAAAATTCCACAAACAACATGAGTATTTCCGTCACTATCTACTGTAACCACACCATTAAGTGAAAATTCTGTATCTACTCCATTTAAAATCATCCCTCGCATCCGAACTAAGTCATTTTGTTTCACTTGATCAGTATGAAGACATTTCCAAGTCTATAAAAGAATGAAATGAGCGAATTGACTAATAGATGTACAATCTATTTTTAAATTTGGAAACATACATTTTTAAGCAAATAATATTTTAATTAAGTTCTTATACTCAGCAAAAATTTTGGAAAACTTACTACACGTCAATTATGAATTTATAACATTTGCGTGGCAAAAGCGACGCGTTTTCTGAAAAATAAAAAGCATTTATTTAAATGTAGCATTACTAACCTTGAACTCATTCCAGAATTTTTTTGACAATTTTTCGATCAATTTGCAAGGATTCTCTGAATAGTCGGCGACATTTTCTGAAAAAAAATAAGTAAACAAAAAAAAACCACTGTAAACGGAAGTAAAACCTTCGTTCTTTCAATATGAAACTCCGATCACTCAATCACATACTTAAAGAAACTTTCTCTGTCGCTAACATTTGTATGCTTGAAAAATGTTGAAATCCAAAAGAATCCAAAGTCAAACTGCTTTAAAATTATTAATAAATGCACAACATATCCAATCATCAAGTCAAACAAAACTCGAAAACAACTTTTTTCAAAAAATCAGTTCGCTGTTAAAGAATTATATCTAGCAAGTACATTGTGGCTGATTTGAGTGAACTTGGAATTGAAAATCCATTCCATCACCACTATATCTAGCAGAACTAACCAAAAAATATGCGATCCACTTCTTCGTATATGTCTATTTCATTATGTACCAAATCTTCACTGTTTCTACATGAATCCTCTCGATAAATACTGCCCATTTCCATAGAATTTATCTTGAAATTTGTTATCTCTAGACATTTCTACTGATTACATTCAACAAAAAATGACAATAAATTATCAAAATTCATGCAAAGGAAAATAACCGATTAAAACTAATGACAATCTGTGAGAAATCAGAAAACCCAAATTTCCCATCACTTATATCTAGCACTTCCTAGATATTTGATTATAAAATTCTACCAATGTCTCGAAAAATGAAATCCACATTTATTTGCTTAACAAATGCAACCAGCGCAATCAATATTTAACAGTGATATAATTAACAATAGCAAAACGGAATGTGCTAATTTTTGAGAGAAAATGAAGTAAAAATAATTAGCTTGCTAACTTGCGTTTTGTCTACATTTTAGATTAAATCCTAGTTGTACACTTTTTATTGAACTCAATTTAAAAAAAAAAAAAACTCAATCTAACTTTGACCTCAAAATCAAATAACTTAAGCGTTTTCATCGCAAAGAATGCCGAATTCGCAGACATATATTTAAAAATAAATTCGCTCCTAATTTGAATCATGTATTAAGCTTTTACTTTCTTTCTCTATTCCTCTCTTTTTGTACGCTTCTTTTTCTTACTACTTTCTATATTTTTCTTATTATACACACTTCCTTATTTGTCAATGAAACAAAATTTGCAAGTTTTGACCTCAACCTTAAATTACTTTAACTTGGAGTTGCTATGCTCTCATTGTACATAGAACCTTTGGTTAAGTCAGTTATTTGTGTTAAGGAATGTAAGCAGAGGATTTACTCTTATAATATATGACCATTCGTTGAACTGATATGACAGTTGAAAGCAATAACATTTTTATTCATTTTGAGGTCAAAGTTGAAATATCAACAAGGGGGCAGAAGTGGTTAGTAACGATCTACTACGAAGACAATAATGAATTTTCATGTATGGTAATAGCAATTTTTAATTACTTGTCAAGCAGAACAAAAGACTTAGTTCTCTCATTTTCTTTATTAATTTGCGTACACTTGTTGAAGAGTTGTATGCAAGTGCTAGCTAATTGACATGAAAAGAGAAATTTAAGTGTTTCACGTGTCATTTATTTTGCGTCATTTCATTTGTTTCATGCGCCATTCGTTTGAATTATTTTTACTTGCATTTATTCAATTTTTAAATTAAAAAAAGCTTGACTTATTCCATAATAAAATGCATTTTCCGCAATGGACGCTAAAACGCTATTAAGTCTTGATATTAAGTGGTAAAACGTCATGAAGCTATCGACATTTAATTTGTTTTGTTTCCCCAAAAGAATTTTTTTTTCCCAAATACTGCTAGTATTTAAACAAAATAATTAAGTTTATGAATTGTATTTTCGTTACAGGAAGATTGAGTTTAGTCATAATTTCGATTTAAGTATTCCTCAAAGTAAATTTATTTCAACCAGTCAACAATATTTAGAAAAAACTGATTTTCAGTGCCCAACATGCTATTTAGACTCAGGTAATCCGATCGAATTAGCTATTTCAATCGGATTTGACGTGCTGACCAAGTATAAGTACAATCAAATTTGACGCCCTGACCAAGTATAAGTACAAAATGTTATAAATGTATAGACAAAATATAGATGTAAATCATGCTGTAATTTTATCGGTTGTTTGCTACGATTGTAAGTATTAACTTGATTTTAATTATTTAATTTCCAATAAATCTGCTTCATTTTCAGAGAAATATGGGGAGCAAATTATAATAGAGCTTCACAAGTATAACTAATTGAAGCCTTACTTACTAAAGACTTTTACAAATTGGAGAAATTTAAATTGAGCGTGGAATTAATTGAAAGAAAGAGAAGAGATTCTTCAGGTGTATGTGTAAAACAAAAGAAAATTTTGTACTTTGAATACTTCAACTTTGGCTGTGCTGAACTAGAGTTATTTGCTTTATTAAGTATCAACAGAAAATGAATAAATTTATAAATGTTAGCAACAATAATAAAAATTGCATTTATATTTTATTTGTACATAGAAATTACACGTAAGTCATGGGATGAGCATTGGTGCGATGAGCATAAATAGCTAACGGTGTCTGACGGCGAGGAACTTCTTCTGATTGCCGAAATGGAATCCTAAAAGGCTAATTTGAATTTTCACTTCAACTATTTATTTCCAACAATTGTAATATTAGCATAATTTCAGCTATCATACAACGCAATTTGTTACTTGTTGAAGCGAATTATTCTTGTATTTCAAAAAACCTAATTCAAGAAATTTATCGTAATCATTCACAATTAAGAATTGTTTAAAGTACTGCTCTAATTTTTAAATTTATGGCTATTTTTTTAAAAAATAACGGTGAACTGTCTGTACCGTTTTTGTTCATGTAAAACTACCGGACTGTTCCACGATCTATTTGGGGCAGTGCCATAGCCACTTTCATGCCCATTTTCACCAGAATTCGCAGAATTTCTAGACTTTTCATCATCTGTTGAGCTGAAAATCAGTATATTATGGAAATTAAACCTCATTATTTCAAAAAATTACCATATTTAAAAAAATCAATTGTTAACTTTTACATTCTTAACTGAGCATAATTTTTTGCTTCTAATGCATTTGCGAAAAGTTTTCTTTAAGGCTTTTTTTTTAAATTGCAAACATGAAATAAGCTACTTAAAAAAAGCACCTTTTATCTAGCAGTTTTTTGAAAATAAAAAATTCCTTCGAATTTTCACCTTTGAACTGCTTTACGTCTTTTTCTAGACAACACCTAATAATTTATTCTAATATTAAATTATTTGAATATAAACTCACACCATAAATTCCTCGAGAGAAAAAATTTTATTCTTGCTAAGATATCACGAACTAAGTGCCAGTATATTACTCAAAAACTTGATATATTTTTCTCATTTTAATTAAAATACTTTTTAATTAGTTATGCATTGAAAAATTACTTAGACAAAATTGCTCAAATATTTAATTATGCATGAGGGGTATTGCTAAAGATGTTTCATCTCTATACTTCTTGCAATTGCAATTTTTGAATACATTTGCTGTATTATGCATAAATTATAATTAAATTTTGTGGAAAACAATAAAATTTTCATTATAATGTAATAATGAAGCATTGAAATGGCTGTCAAAAAACTTTGCAGTTTATTAAATTGTTTTTTTTAAATTAAATATTTGCATCTAGTTGAGAGCACTGAATTGGCAAAACTTAATTGGGAGAATGTCAGAATTCAAAAAACAATACAAATTTTGGTGTTCTGAAAACTATACTTCAAATTTTAATTAGTTATGCATATTACTTAAACAAAATTGCTCAAATATTTAATTCAAGTTGCATAATTATAATTAACTTTTTTCCAAGATTTTTACTTTTAATCTTTCAAGTTATTTTTGGTGTATTTTCTACAGCATAAGTTTATAAAACTGGTCAAAGGTGGTCAAGATATAATATGTTAGGATTTATGTTAGGTCAAACTGGTCAAAATATAATATGTTAGGATTTTATGTTTAAAATTAATTAAAATCAGCCGATTGATTTTTACTTAAAGTATTATTACCGTTTTGGAGTTGCGTTAAATTCTTTATCCAAAGAGTTTTCTGTAGAATCTAAACTAATCGGAGAATCCTCGGGTGGTGGGGGAGGAGGTCGACATGTCGGTGGTGGCCTGCGTACCGAAGATATCCCATAGTTTGTCTGCAGCTTACACTAAAACCGAAATAATTTAGTGAAGAATTTGGATAAAGAAAAAGTTTCCAAACATGAATTATTCAAACTTCAATAAAAATTTTTTGCATATTTTTAGTAATTAAAAAAAATTTGGGTATCACTTTGAAATTGTTTTATTTTGCAATGTTCTGAGTGCAGTAATTGAAAAGACTTAATCTGCTACATACATCAATGGTGAGATCAAGTAAGTAATGCTTGAAAAATTTTAAATATGAACAAGTACTTCTCTCGTAGATGTCCACGGATTACTACTTGTTTGGATGTTGTTGAAAATTCGATTCCTCGGTATTTCCTCGTACATTTTACCAATTGTACAGTATCCATCTGTGGAACCTCGCAGTCGAAGTGTACTTGCAGATCGTTGCATCGAATTTCTCATTAAATTTAACGGCAAATTGTTAGGACGGCAAGAATAATTCCTGTAAAGAGTAAACTTTTTTCACGAAATGAAAAAATATAATTAAATGAAAAGCAATTAGGTAATTAAAGACTTCTAAATTACTACTGTAGAAGAATATTACCATTAAAAGTTAATACTTGAAGCTTTGGAGTAATTTTTTAAAAAGTATTTCTTACTTTTTCAGATTAAAAAAAAGTTTAAAAATAGCTTTTTTATTAACTTCCTAAAAATAATACCAATATTTTTTGAAATTATTTCAAAAATGAGTAAAGTTTTACTCAAAAGTTGTGCTTACCTCAATAGATTTGATGTGATTGGAATAGCTTTATGCACAAGGAAGTCATTCCCGGTTGACCCGTAAAGTAGATCACCAGCCTTCATCGAAGTATTATTTTCTTCTGCATTCGTGTATGGCCATTCTGAGGTATTTAGTATTATATCAGTTGGATATTCCGATTTTCGTTTGTTTCTGGTTCTTTCTTTCTTTTTATACCTGAAATCCAACTATTCATAATATTTAAAGATTTTAAATTGTTTCTTAAGACTTACCGGATTTCATACAAATTATTATAATCATCTCAAAATTATTTCACATTGTATCTGAATGTTTGAAATTTGAACATTCTTCTTGAGTATATCAGGTGTAATTAATATATTATTATAATAAAGTCATTATGATCTAATCTTTTGATATAATGTGATCTATTTTGATCGATTTTTTAAAACCTTAAATGGTAACATAAACTGCTTACTTTGAGCTAATCTATTTGAATATTTGAGAAGAGAAGTGTGACCTGATCAGTTCTAATGTACTGCAATTAGTTCAAGAAAATTATTAGTCCGGATTTTTACTGTCTGAATAAAATAGACTTTTAGCTATTTGTTTTCCCAGTCAGACAATTTTTAAAAATGATTTAAAAATTTGTGCTTAAATCTTAGCTATAAGCAAAAATTGTCATAATTTTAGCAAATATTTTTCAATTGTAAAATGAAAAGTTAGTAAAGACGAAAATTGAATTGTTGCTTAGTTAGTTGGTGTGTTGCTCAGTGCCAGGAGATAATTTTACTTAAGCTCATTTTAGTATAAACTTAGTGACAATACGAGAAGTGCGCCACACACACACACACACATAAACATACACACACACGCATACATATATATATACATAGAAACAATTTATATTTGATGATATTTAATTGTAAGACGTTCAAAAACTGAAAAATGCATATTGCACACGCAATAACGCTATAAAGTTTGCTCGGATTAATAGCCTAAAATTTATTCTACTTTATATTTTTTATTTTGAGATCAAAATTGAATGATTAAAACAACTGGAAAGTTAATACTAACGCTACGCTTTCATTTTAGGCATATTTACAATGATTTAATTTGAACAAATTAAATAATATTCAAGCAAACATTTTGCTGAATTGTTAATTAATAGATTACATTTCAAGAAATATTTAATACGCAAAGAATATTTAATGAGAGCGAATATCTTACGTCCCATACTTACTTTTAAATTCAGTGATAATGAAAATTCTCGCTTTTCTGACGTGTTCAGTTTGCAATAATTACTTATCAAAAAAAGGAAATCGTATGAAAAAATAAAAATTATTGTAAAAGAAAGTCATTTTATAATAATAATAACAGCTTACGATAATGCTGAAAGGAATCATCAAAAGCAATGTCACGCAAGTATTAACGTTCGAATATAAAACTGATCATTAGACAATTTTTCTGCTTTAGCAATAAAATTTATTATTCATATAACTTAATGTTTAGCACTAATTGAGTTATGATTCAGGTCAGAGGTCAATACTTCCAAAATAAATTTTAGGCATTCTCAGATTTTAATTAATTCCCACAATTTAATTGTTGTATATAACAGCTTTACAGATTTGTGCAAATTGTGTCAACGAAATTAATTGGGTAATTGAAAAATGGTGCTGTGGAAGTGATTGCACACATACACACACACACATGGCAACAGACAGACCTTTCCGCTTCATTATCTCTTTCTGAATTTGGCAGCTGAATTGCTCTGAATAGGCCATCCAATTGAGCACAGCAGGCCTTAGGCCTTATTTATTATTCAAATAGTCATAAATTCATGAAATTGTGGATTATTCCAAAAGTTAACTCATCGAAAAGTAAAAAATTTGTTGAGAAATTAAGAAAAACTTACGATTCTTTACGATTAAATAAATATTTGTAATTATATTGTTTACAAAAATTTAAAGCAAAAACAAATCAACGCTAGCTAATTATGACTGCAATTATAATCATGATATTGGGAATACCTTCACAGAACAATAATAATAGTGATGATAATACTAAGAAAAATAAGAATAAAAATAAATAAATAAATAAATAAATAATAATAATAACTCAGTAACGAATGACTTTTAATACAAGAAACTCAAAGAAACAACAATGTTACAATGAAAGCAAATAAATTTGATTTATTAATAATGTCAAATTAAGTATATTCATAGATAATGATGAAAATAAGCTTACTTCATTAAGAATTTATTGCATTACTTAATTTCCCAGAGGACTAACTTATTACATGAGATCAACAACCTTCTTAATCAGTAAAATCAGTTGCTTTCTATCTATATGATCAGATCAAAAATAGTAAATAAAACGATTGAAAATGATTTGATCATAAAAAGTTGAAGCAGTGATTCGATTAATTTCAACTGATAAAATTTTCAATTTTCTTTGACTATTAAAATCATTTAAATATTAAAATATTTTATTTCTTAATACGCTTAATTTTAAATTCAATTAAGTTAACAATTAATTTTGAAAATATTTCAAAAAATAAACAGACCTTCGGATTCGATTGCAAATAATGAAAATGAATAAGGCAGTGAAGATAAGTACAGCAAAGATTATCAGTGAATACAAAAAATAATTTGATAAGAAAGATAACAGCCAAGAAATTTCACTTGTAGCGACTACTTCCTTCTCAGTCTCACATTCTTGAACCTGAAACTCAAATATTATTCTTATTTTAATTGAAATTTAAATTTTTAATTTTTTAAGTTTTGTATTAAAGTAACTCAATTCCTTTTATACAATTTGTACTAATTTTTTCTACTTTTGTCATTGCATATATTACCATTTTTAGGTTATTTTTGCTTGAAAATATATTGTCAGTTATGGATTACTTCTATTTTTTTCTATCATTGTTCTATTTTGTACTTTGCTTAATTTGCATAAGAATGCAAGTTAAAAAGCAAACAGATGTCAATTTGCATATTCATATTTTCCCAATCAATCATTTTAGTACAATTTTTACCTTTTCATAATTTTTACTAAAAAAGTTTCTTTAAAAATATTTTTTTGCCTACTTGTGGCAGCAAATTTTGCATAAATGAATTGAAAAAAGAACAAAGTTGTGAAAATTTTTTTTTCTGTTTTTGTAAAATTATTATGATAGAGATTACAGAAGAACTTTTTCTTCATATACGTATTCAATACGTAAAAATTAAAAATACTAACTTATTATAAGTCAAATTAAAGTAAATTTGCAAAAGTCTATTAATAACTTTTTTAATTTTAAATAATATTTTTGCATGTAATCTACAATTTTTGTTAAAAAGTTAATATAATATATTCCTTAGATAAATAGTACGCTATTATGCAAATTACTTACGAGTATAATGTATAATTACATCGATGGTTTTTACTTAGTATATTTTAGAATAAATATTTTTATGAATATCATTTTAAAAGTTAACCTCAGTGAGTTTTTCATTTGCTTCATCAAAAAGTAAATTCCAAATCAATGATGGATCTGGTGGCGGAGGTACGTCAAATTCTGGTGGCGGAGATATACATTCACATCCCATTACACATCAGCAATTTGCATTTTTGATTAAATGCCTAAAATATATTAACTTAATTAATCAACAATTTCGTTCTTAATTTTACACTTTTATAACGTAATATTAACGCTTGAATTGGAAATATATAATAATGAGCTGATTAAAATTTGAATAAAAATTTCTATTTTGGCAACAACAATTTATTATGCAAAATTGTCGAATACAAAAATGATTGAAAATCCTAACCAAATTACAAAAACGATGGGAAATCTAACCAGTATTATTGTTTTCAATTTCCCGTTTTGCAGTTAAAATTCAATTTCGATTAAAAATCCATTAAAACTAAAAAATTGCATTTTATGAAAGAAATTTAATAATACAAACATTTCAGTTCACGTTTTACCCTCACAAGGACAAAAATAAATAGAAAAATAAATGATTATTAGCAATAAAAAATAACTGTCTGCAAATAATATATCACAGAAATATTTTCAAATATTAAATACGTATACAAAAGTATTAAATAAGCGCATAAAAATTAAATGATTCATAAAAGGAAATATTTTCATGTGAGGTCAAAGTTATGCTCAAAAGTAAGTGATAAAAAATGGTAGCAAATCATCTGCAAATTGTTCCTAGCAATATAACTTTCATATTTAGTAATTTAATGTTTTTAGCTAATTTAACTGTAATTAAAAATGGTGGCAAAATTAGCATAATTTGCTGATAGCACTACATTGCTAATAAAATAACAAAAATGACATGCAACTATCACCAAAATTATTAATGTTAGTAACAGAAAAAGTATGTGTGTGTGTGTGTATGTTTGCGTGTGTGTGCACGTCTGTGTGCGTGTGTGTGTGTACATGAGTATGTATGGAAGCACTAATGAGCCAAGCATTGTAACGAGTAAAAACGGCCTTAAGCCAGTAAATTTTCAGCCACAACCGGTATGATAGTTAAGAGCTTAAAGAAGAAAGTGTTGATGAGGAAGAAGAAATCTGATTTTCAACTTGGCTCAATTCAATCAGAGAGGATGACAGTTTTGGAGCACAAGTTTTGCTACTAAAGCACATAATATTGCAAATAATTGAGTCTATGCGTAAAATTTATTATCATTGTGCTTAGTTAGATAAAATATTAACTGACTAAGCAATCTTTTTTGCATAAAATTTTAAGAAAAAAAAATTTGTTAAAAAAGTAAACAAAAAATGATGAAAAAATTGCTATAAACGATTATTAAATTTTAAATTAATTTTACAAATTTTTTTTTGCAAAATATTTTTAATTCAACAAATTATTAATAAAACAATTTGAAATAATTCATATTTGTTAAATTTAAAGTTTATTTTTGTTTGAAAACTTAAAATTTTAGCAATTAATTTTGTTTGATAACATTTTAATATAATAAAATTTGAGATTTTTATATGAACAAAATATTCAAAAGATTTTATGCTATAAAAAATAGTTAATTTGTATAAATAACTTTTGCTGCCATATTACTTTCACATTATAGGCATTATTTTTTCAAAATATTTTCAATACTCAAACTGTAATTTCAGTTTTGTTTTTTTTGAATTAAATGGTATAAGTTGATAAATTAGCTGAGAAAGCATCCAAGTTGGAATAGTAGTAAAGTTTTATTTACGTCTAAAAGCATTTGTAGCGAATTCATCAAGTGAAAACAGTACTAATAATAATAATAAACACGCAAGCAAAGCATGATATAATAAAAAATAATAAAAATAAAAATCTTTGAACAAAAGCTTCAAGAAAATGTATAATTGTAACTCAGTAAATGCTTGCAAGGTTATTTTTCAAGTGGAATCTTTAGGGAATTTTTCCGTTTCTAATGAAATTTTCACCAAACTAAAATAAATCACTCTTGCATATTCTGAAAGAAATCACATATTTAGAAGATTCTTTAGATGCATAAATAAGCTTATGAATAAACTTTAAATAATCTCAAAAAACTTTAAGAATATTTCAACTTTAAAAATATCTCATTTTATTACAATATTAAAAATGCTATGCTAAAATACTGCTAAAAAATTTGTAACAGAAAAGTTTATTTTTAGTAACAATTACTTACTTATATAGGCTAAAAAATCTTTTCAATACATAAAGTAAGCTTATAAATTTTCAATGCTTGAATTTTAGAAGCAGAAAATTTGCATACAAAACAGATTTGAAAAACTGATTATATAGCAATTTGTAATATGCAACTTATAGCTTTATCAGTTTTTAATTAATCGTAATTAATAATTAAGGTTGATTAAAAACTGATAAAGCTATAAGTTGCATGTTACAAATTGCTATATTTTTAAATCAATAAAAAGTTATTACAATTATCAATTACTTGAATTTGTCTGAAGGATATACTGTAAGCGTTGAATTACCTGACTGATTACTTTAATTTTGAATGTTTTCCGCTTCGATTCTCTCAAATTTTAATGACAAATCAAAGTATTGTACAACTTGTCAAGTATGTATAATACTTTTTAGCAGTTATAAAAACATTTCATATTTGAGTAATTAAGTATTCATTCAACTAAATATTTGTCGTAAGCATAAATAGTAAAAAAAAATATAATGCATAGCTTTAGCATTATCGAAAAACCAATCCGAATTTTTTTGATTTTGATTTTTTAAGCACTAAAAATATCATTTTTAAAACTGCAAGATTTTTGACAGTAAAAAAATATTCTTCTAACAATTTGACAAAAAGGTACTATATTTTTTCGTACTAACTTCACAATAAAGTTTAATAGTTTTACTTGCAGTCTAAAATCAAAACGAAACTTTTGCAGCTCACGTGTTAGCCTCGCAAGGGCAACAAATAAGCAAAATTATTAAACTAAGTTTTTTTATTTTAGAAAACTGAAATATAAATTGTAAGCAGTCATAATTCCCGCTGATAATCACTGATAGTAAAAGGAGTGATTTAAATTTTGATAATAAATGCTGGCAAGCAATCACTTTCATTCAGAAAATGACTTTCAGCAAAAATTGTTAAAAAGTGAAATTTATTTTGTTTAATAAAATGACGCTGCAAGTAATCAGAATGCCTTTAATTACTTCAATTGACTCGAATTTGCATAAAAAGTTTTATAATTTTTAAAATTACATCAAGAAATGACGAAAAAAAATCTTACTAATTAAATAATTAAAGACATTCTGATTACTTGGCGAAAAAAAATCTTAATTATTAAACTTTGAATGTTTTTATAAAAATGAACAAAAATATATAATTTTTAATTTTCCTTATTTGATATGCAAATATTTCGAAGATAATAAAGTTTTAAATGATAAGCATAAGCAAATGACAAATAGATTTGATCGTAAACATTAATTTTCATGCTAATATTCGCATTCAAAGCAATAAGTAAATTTTGACTCTTACGATATTTTATATGCAAATATTTCGTGCATATAAAAATTGTAAATGTTTGAGGGATAAATTCTCATGACAAATGTTAATATAATACATTAAATTCATCATACGTTTGTGGTGACTGTACGAATCTCTTTATGTGTTTCACGTTATGAAGTGAAAGAAGCACGCAAAGGGATATAACCATAAAATACAATAAACTAATTTCATCCAACTTTTATTTTAAAACATGTTAGACAGAAAACTTGACTTATTAATTAAGTACGAAGTGAAATTTCATAAATTTGATTATTTAATTATGATAAATATAAAGTAAACTATTTTATTCACTGCTAATTTTTGAAACAAATAAAGTTTTTATGAATTTAGACTAGAATTTTGAAAAGATATTATAGAAAAATTGAATAAATAAACAAAGTAGCAAAGTTAGAATGCTTGATGTGATTCACTGATGCAAAAGTAAACCACAACTTAGTGAAAATTAACTTTAGTAGATAAAAATTAGGTAAATACTTGAAATAGAAAGTGTGAACGAATATTTTAGACAAGCTGAATAGTAAGTTTTGAAGTTCGAGCTCAAGGCTTGGTGAGTAATAACTTACTTTATAAAGTTGAAGCTTCATACTGCATTTACCTAATGACAATTTGCTATATTGAAGGTTTTTTTTTGCTACAAATTATGCCAAAATATAAATTAACAGATAAAGTCAGTGAATTTTTTCATTTTTCTTTGCAAAAAATAGTTCTAATTAGTTCTATTTATGGCCTTAACGTGTTTGGCTTAATTAATTATTCAAAAAACAAACAATGAATTGGTAAATAAGAAAGTAATCTTCACTTGAGTAATTTTTGCGCTCGAAAAAAAATTGTACACAAATATTATTATATCCTTTCTAGGCTTTTAAACTTGCAAACAGTAAAAGACTATAAATTTTGCATAATCACTTTTATATTACTAATTCTTTTTCATGATTTATATATATATAACAATTATGGATTTTAAAAATAATGCCAAAAAAATGCCATTAAAAATGAAAATTATTTGATATTAAGTAAAGTAATGCTAAGGTACCACCACATCTTAATACTTATGTAAGCAGCAAGACTGGGCCAATTTCTGATGCTTGGCCTAGCATCTGTCATCATGCTGTTCTTTCTTAACATTAGCCTTGTCCATGTTTCTCATTGTAACTACACTCAAATATTATTCAAAAATAGGCACTTGAACAATCTCGAGTCTCATCAACTGAGACTTACATATAGATCTCTCATCTTTCCACTAACAATTTTATTTTTCATGTTATCATTAGCTTTATCACTATTTATCATTATTATTATTATTATGATTATTATTATCGTTAATGCAAAAACTAAGATATAGTACACCGATAACATTGTTACCACTATCATTACCATAATTGATTTTCTTTAATCAGGAATTTGAAATAAAAATAATATATTTTGGGAGTATAGTAAAAAATTTGTATTGTTTAAATTCTATCACTAAAAAAATGTCAAAAAAAAACTGTAAAAAAGATGAAAATATTTATGGTATTCTAAAACGAATATATAATCTTTCCTTCTAAAAGTTCTAATTTTTGAAAGAATTTGCATTTTGTGATAATTTGGG